AATGAAAACAATAAAAGCGCTCAGGCTGAGAACACCATCGGTGACGCTACCGTCGCTTTCGAGGTAATCCCATCTTGCCCTGCTCCAGGAGGTCCTCCCCGTTCCTTTGAACTGGATCTCGAAGCGTCGCGTGTCTACCGCATGGCAAAGCGAGACACGATGGATTTCTCATTCAGAAGCTCGCTTGCTGGCAGCATCGCCTGGTCTATATTCTCAGGCCTCAGCGTAAGCGACATATCAGCCGTAGCTGCTATCGCCCTGCCAATAAAGCCCAAAGATCTATCAAACGCCCACAGATACGACTTCGGTAACTCCCCATGGAATCCAGAAACGACTGACCATCACCTCGGAGGTTTCTCTGGGACAGTAACCGAGGAGGACTTGGATATCGAGAGATCCAAGACAATAATTGGATCACCAAGTCCACTCTTGAGGCCTTGTGCTTCATCCGAGTCTATGTTCTTTTACGCCCAAGGCAGCTCCATCATGCGTGCTCGTCATAACACTCTTGATATGGATGCTCAGGTTGAACATCACAACAACGACATCATATTAATCGAAGTGAACAACTCTAGTCGGAGAGAGTCGGGAAAATATGTCTTTACCTATGACATTGGAGGCGTGGCAGTTGTGTGGAATCTTGCAACAGGCGAGGAACTGTCTCGGTTTATCTCACCACAACTGACATGTGCTGCCTGGATGAGGAATGGACACTTGGTGCTCGGTAAGGCTCTAATCCCATCCATAATGCCCTCCTCTTGGCCGTTACCAACTATGAATATGAAAAACCCTCTAACTCGACCTAGGCAATGCCAAAGGTTGTCTAATTTTCTTTGACCCCATAACAACACAACACTTCCCGGTCACTACATTCTCTGGCATAGCGATATCTGCAATTGCACAGGCCGAAGAATGCGAATACATAGCTATTGGGTTTGTCCTATGAAGACCTGCTTAATGCTTCTGTAGCTGGACTGACACGGATATAGCTGTCAAACAGGGGCGGTTTTCATAGTTACTCCCCCTCCTTACTTCGCCATTTTGTATCATGCAGTTCGCCGCCCACAATATTCTTTCCCAATCGCAACACTTAGATGGCACAGGACCCCATCCCTGCAGCAGAAAACAATGCTAGCCGTGCAGTACAGCAACGGGGATCTGCGCGTGTGGAGCATGGGGAAGGTCTACTCCCCTGACAACCCAGTAAAGACCGTACGGGTGTTGGACAAAAAGGGGAGTGGCGAGGATTTGAATTCTCATTGGATGGCGTGGTCAAAGAACGGAACTATCGTTCAATACTCAGATTCGTATGTCATTGTGAAGCCTCGAGTCTCTCGCCGGATATTCATACTAACAGGTAGTAGCGAAACACTGGCCTGGGATGTGCGTACCAAGTATGTCACACAATACAGCATCCCGCTACCTGAAGGTATCCAAGGCATGGCAGTCTACGGCCCTGAGGCAAGACTGTTTACAATCGGACCCAATGACAGTATCCAACAGTTCAACCTCAGGTACCCACCTACATCAGTTGCGAGTGTCCAGCATCAGCTGCCGTCTCCGCCTTCCTGACAAAAAGGGGTACAAGAGCCGGAACAAATATTGACCAAAAGGCCAAGGGTTGTTATATATCATCGCTTGAAGGCTTATTTGGCAGCCGCCTCCATTGGATGTTTGGCCCGGATGCTGATGGGAGGAAGTTGGTCGAGTTAAAATAGCAGACCTCACACATTCTTTTATCATGGAGACGTATTAAATATGATGATTTTCAAGATATATGGCAAAACGATGTTATTGTTTTTGAAACATTGGTTTAATTAAGAATTGTTACTATCTGTGTATTTTCTTTTGACATTGACAAGGCAACTGAACCTACACCTGGACGACAGCAGTATAATAGCCATCAGCTCTTCCTTCGGACAAGAATGGGAAGAAAAATCTTAAACAATAACTTCGCAAAAAGAAAATGTCTTGGGATTTAATTGGTAATATTGTAGACGGGACCTTTTAAAAACATCCACTGGAAGTTATGTTCTAGCCTCCGTGCTTTCCTGGAGCTGCATATTCCACAGCACCCTGCCACCACTTGCTAACCCAAACGAACACTGTCATTCACTCATCACTACCCATCCCTAAGACGTATCTCTCTCTAGGCTGAAGTCGGCTTGGAATCTGAGTTTAAGTTGTTGAGACGAAGGCCCCCATGACTCATCCTCGTAATACCGAAGGCCATTCCAAGACAGATGACATATAACCAAGATCCGAGGATGATCTCGGCGTATCGGAGGGCCAAACCCATATTCATGAATGATTTTGCGGACATGGAGAGCTTGTAACTAAAGCTGTCGATACCGGCGATCACTGCCATGGAGACGTGACGAATGGCAGTCAGGGTGGAGATGGCAAGCAGGTGAGCGCCAAGCTGGAAGGAAACAAACAGTTAGCCCAAAGCCGGTGGAAGGAATTTCAAAGAGTGGTCTGCCATTAACGGTGTAATTCACTTACTTTATTGTGAGGCGGAGTCCGGGGCTGCCTGATAGTATAGAACAAGGACGCAAGGGCAGTAAGTCCGAGAAGAAGCCTGGGTACGAAATAGAGGGCTATGAATGACTTCAGAAGAGGCGACATGCCCTCATCATCAGCACCGGTGAGTAGCAGGTCCGTGTTGATGACGAGCTGCTGATCAACAAAAAAGCCGATCGCGGGCAGCAAGACGACGATGAAAGTAGCGTAGTTGAGCATGCGGCCGTTGTTACCAGTAGATGCATCGAGCCGAGGGCTTCCTCCCTGGCTGACGAAGGCATCGATCATTTGCATGCCTCTGGCAAACTCGATCTGAGCACTGACAAATGCAGCATAGCCCAAGATACAGAATATGTTGCTCAATATTTCAAGTTGTGCCGAGCTCATAGCCTCCTTGTATTTGCCCGGGGCGTCATCGGACGATTCAGAAGTCACCTGCAAGACGGAAGCGATGAATTTGAAGATTTGGCCCCTCGAGAGTAAATGTTAGTACAGAACTTCCATGCTGCCAATTGGACAAGGGAATGATACTTACAGGACGAATAAGCAGCAGCTTGCTTTGACCCAAGGAATGCCAGTTCGCGCTTCATCGCCCTGGCGGTGGCTCATAAACAGGATGAGGAGGGTGAGAATGATGATGGCTATGCCGGCTATGACGGTGAGGACAGTGACTGGAATGGCACTGACGACCAGCATTACGGTTCCACCTCCGACTGAAGGCATCTTGACAGATTTTCTAGTGATAGAAGAGTAGGCGATTTGTACCAGGGTTGAAATAGATATGGTCAAAGAAGAAGGTGAAATGATAAACGAATATCACACGAGCACGTCTTGATTAAGGACGATGCCAAAGAACTCAAATAAGAGAGCCGGCTATGAGCGAAAAGCAATGCTATACGGTGTTCTCATCGATGTCAGTCAGGGCGCCCCTCAACATTTTATGTCTTGCAGCATCACATTGTAGACTGAACAGCCGGCATCGCTTGGCAGTGCAAAGCGAATCGAGCGGCTGAAAGTCAAGCCAACCAGTGGCTAAAATTAGAGTGCAGAGCAATGCCGTTTTGGAAACAGAACTATATTTCGACGCTTCGTCGTATTTGATAATAATTTTGGATGTACTGTGCCATTGGGCTGCGCGGAGGAACGAATGAGAAGTGGCCAAGAGAAGCCCCTGTAGAACATGAGACTTGGGGGTAAGACGAAGGATGCTGTGGTAGTTCATTTCATAGGTCAGCAAGCCAGCTACCTGGAGCTGAATTTTTTCCGACTACTCCCCAGTCAGCCTTATTTGTAAACTGATGCTCACCCGGGTTGCTGCTGATCATCTCGTCGCCGATGCCCTGACCCCTGCCAACTTGTTACACTGCTGTTTTACTCCTGCGGCGCGAAGTTCGGTCTGGTCCAATGGCGTTGATCTTGGAACGCCAAGTGGCTCCTTCCAAATTTTTCTTGCGTAGCAGCCAGCGACCCTGATCTTTTTTTATCATTTAGGTGCGCTTCCTGCGACATCCTGCGACTTGAGTCGTGTTGGCGTTCGATGTTGCGAGGCATAACTGGATACGCCTGCAGCTTGGATGTGGCCTTATTTTAGGAAGGATAGAGAGTTCGTGTGATCCTGATCACAATTTAGGTTTGGAAATCATAATTTTGACTCATAAGCTTACTGTTCGTGCATGTATTATATAAGTTGATGAGCTACTTCAGCTGAGATGTAACACATCTCTTGGTCACAGCATGCAGTTGAGTTGGTCTGTCACAGGCTGCAATATCATAACAGTCAGCCCTGATTGGTGCTATCGACCTTCAAATATTTGTTTTTCCAAGCTTTTAGCCGCACGAGTCATAAAAAGAAGCCCTGGCTGCACTGCATCGTGGACTTGTGACACAATCGAAAGGATTATTTGAAGGTTGTGCATGAGCGACTGATCGAGTTATTTGCCTTTTAGAGCAAAGTTATTCGCTTGCCTGCAGAATTACAAAAGAAAGAAAAAAATCGGATTTCATAATTTTATCCTACCCTACTTCTTTCCAAATGCCTGAAATTAAACAGGCACGAGAGCTGTCTTGCGAGCTGTCTTGCCGCCGGCTTGACCCGAGCACACCATCACGCAGCCCTTGGGTTGATCACCAGCCACCCGGACCAGCAAAATAAGCTTGAAAGACAAATTCCCTAATTGCCACCGCTAGCGGTTAAATGACTGTCACCCATGATAGGCAGTGCCATTTAGCTTGTGACGGCCACTGCAACTGAGTGTTCTCGGGAGAAAGTGCACCAACATACTGTGCCCCTCCTTTGCTTCCATTAGATGGAAGTGAACAGAAGAAAAGAAAAACAAAAGATTATCGAGCAAACATAAGAAATAGTAAACTATTCCGAGCGTAGGGGTTAATCAAGGCTTTGTGGAAGCGCAGTGACCTGACACAGCCAACCTTGTTCTGAAATCGCCCTCTTTGTCGATCACGGCCCGACACTGAAATCAAGACAATTCTTGCGGGATTCGTTGGCCGTGGGTAGAAGCCATAAACGCATAAAAAAACGTCCCAAACTCATCGACGTCCTCGAGCCAGAGATCAACGCGGTTCCGGCGCCTCTGGGCATCAAATGCATCCAGGGTCGGCGGCGGGGGCCATAGCTCGAATATCCGAAGATATGCACCATTGTCCCAGTGAGTTTCGCATGCAGTATTCGCCAGTTTCCAGTCAGTCCGGACCCTCGCCTGCCAGAGAGACTTTGGACCTGGAGCGGGCAGCCCCTGCAGCTCCACCATCAAGTACGTCGGGAGTTCGTATCCTATGGCCAGCAGAGTGTCAAACAGATACATGACTAGTATCGTCCGACGCTTCGCTTCTGCAGCCACCCACTCTTCCCAAATTGGACGGCAATTCGACGCCTTGGACCGGACCGCGAGGCCTTGCAGTGTGACGTGGCGTGCTAGTGCTTGGAGGATAACCATCGCGTTGGCAAGATAGTCGTCGCGATCTTGTTCCACGTAGAAGTAGAGTGCGAGCGTGTAAATCAGGTAGGCCTGAAAGGCAGCCAAGGCACCCATCGGGCTGTATGAGAGGTACTCTTTTTCGATGTTAGACATCGCGCTCCTGATGAGGTTTACCGCGGTTTTCTCGGGGCCGAGGATCGGGTTATCGAGGATCCGAACGGCTGATAGACAGGTTGACAATGACTCATTCCATTCATAATCAGCGGTCTGTAACGGATGTACGAATGGCAGGACTCCACGACCCCGAATGGCGGTACCAGCATACGATTTGAGAATCTGATGGAGTAAAGACGTGATGCTAGGGGGGTAAGCCTGCATCACATGGTCGGGCATTGGGACCATCCTGTTCAGCCAGCGATTCTGAATTTGTTCTGCTGGTATTAGGGAAGCAAGGTGGATACTGGTGAAGTCCATGATCTTCTCCTTGTCTATCCGGTCAGGGATGAATACGAGGCAGGATTTGGCGACATTAGGATCCATGACTGGTAAGCTCCAGCCGCTAGTGGTCATGACCTGGACCGAAGTTTTGGGCCCCTTGAGGCCCTCGATCAAGGCTAGGACAGCTGGATCAGTGCCGAGATTCTCTTGGCGATCAGAAACATCTTCTGCAGCATCGTCTGGATCTGCTCCCACTGGTGTGTCTGGACTGTCTCCTGCAACCGTCTCCATATAGGAGCAAACTTGTTTTCGTGCGGCACATCTCTCGCAAGGTTGGGGCCGGCATCTGGTTTTTGAGACTGCACAATGGTCACATGCCTTTTGTCGAGTCACCGAGAATCGCGGCTTCCTCCTTGCAGACATTGCTGACGGAAGTGATGGCCGATTGGGGCGTCTTGTCGAAGATGTCTGACACTCGGAGGACGGGCGTCGGAATTCCTCGAGCGTAGGGGCTCGACGAGGCTGGTAGCAGGGCCAATTGAAACACTTGTGCGAGTGTTACAGACACAGCAAGACCCGCGACAGCACGGCTTTCCGGCAGCGGAACGATGCGACGGCAAAGGACAAATGGCAAACTATCGCGGCTGGGCGTTGTTATTTCAATGTTAGCACCGGAGTGGAGACGCAGGAGAAATCCGAGCTTTACCTTTTGTTTTGTTTACGTCACGTCACGGATGCATCTCTCCTAGAAGCATCGAGATGTGCAAATTGCCGGAAGATAGTTTTAGCGATCGGCAGATTCCGACGGTGTTGAGGTGCTTTTGCCGCTGAATAAAGTTTGCAGCGGCGAGCGCGAGGGTGCAGCTTTATATAGAGATATCTGACTGGATAGACACGTGATAGGGGTTACATTTCCCATTTCCTTGCTCCGCGTTCTAGACACTGGCTGCAGAAATTATGGGTTATTTTCTTTTTCTCCAGCCCCCGGACAGATGAGGTCGCAGCTGAAATGCAGTTGAGCTGTGAGGGGGCGCCGCTTACCCTTGGAGGTCTCAGGAAGCCTGCGCCCATTCGCCATTTTCCTGATTGGAGCAGCCGGTCATGGCAGTTTCGTAGGCAAGATATATGTATTGTTGTAATAATGTAATAAAACACAAATGGATCTATCCAAGGGATGTGTCTACAAAGTGAAACAGTCGCATCGGATGTTGCATGAGGGCTGACCTCAAGTGCAACGGTGACATTTCGTATATGCCGGGCAAAATGCTATCACGCAGATCGACAGGAAATGTTCTGGAATTGATTGCTCTATTGACGTATGTCCCTATTGAGACTCTTCTGGGGCACATGGGTTCGGAAAGCCGGCGACATTAAGCTCATTGACCTTTATTTGCTGCACAATAGGGTTTCAATCAATCAGCTTGCCGTTCCATCCTGTAATTCGATGATTAATTGTTTCTCGTCTTCTTCCATTCGGTATGCTGTGGCGACAAGATCCAATGTCATCGCAATGCCATGGAAGAATTTGGCTCTCTAAGCCTGCGCAATGACGGAAGCGCAGGGAAGTTCCTCGGCCGAAGAAGGTCGACCAGATCGTTAAAAGAGGACACCTCGCTAACTGTAGTACGATTTTCGTGAAATTGGGGCTCATCACTTGCTTTTATAGATCACCGCGTGCAAATACAAAGCCCATGTTTATTTGTACACCATACTTCCTCACATCGGGCATATCAATCTCGGTCGTGTCGAACAACATTGCTAGCACATTCTCCTTGCGAGACCATGGTAGAGTTATAAATAACATGAGGTGCCGTCAGGTTTCTGGTTTGTTTTTTGAAGAAACATTTCGATGACGGGGGGACTGTGAACTCTTGAAAAAAAAACATTTTGATATGGGAGAAGACGTAAATACACTACAGAAGGTACCTGCGAAGCAGTGAGATTGCTGCTATTCTGGAGAGCACATTGGCTTTAGTGAACTCAGAAGCTATCTGTCGGCACCGACTGGGCGAACTTTATTCTTCTCGGCGAAATTCTACCAAAAAATTATCATTACATAGGTAGCCATGTTCTCTTCAACTACTGAAGAGATCTCTTGCACTGATGTTGGGAAGTGGAGGTTCTGTGGGGAAGGGAGCGGTTATATATTAGTTAACTTTTATTAAAGTTTTTAACAAGATATTAATACTTATATTTAAATTAAATATATAAATATTTAAGTTTTTATAATATTAAAAGTTTAAGTATAAGCTATAAATTATATTTAAAAAAACTATATATTATAGTTATATATATAGCCTAATCTTAGAATAACCTTTATTTATAGTAAAAGAAGTAAATAATAATAAATTACTATAGGAACTCTTTGAGTTTAAAATAAGAAATTCAAAAAGGTTTTCTCCTCCCTGGTACCCTCGCTAACCAATAGAGTCCAAACGTTAGTGTGATATTAAACATAATATACACAGCTAGATATCCAACATTACGCCACCGCTTGTGTAAATCTATCCCCACGCCCTTGAAGAAATCGTTTGTGCTGTCTACAGGGCAATAAAAACACTGTCCCATTGTCTCATCTTTGTTGATGACAGTTCCTCCTGCCATCTGGACGTATGAAGCCAGATACTCGCCACATGTCTTCCCGGACTCTACGACCGTCGAAGGGAGGCTAAAGCGGAGCTGTTGAACAGGCGAGCACAGTATTTCGACATTGCCAAGGCCAGCGGCCAAGAGACCGTTGATCAGATAGGTAAAAGGTGAGGCGCGGTGGACAAAGACCCAGAAGTCTGGAAGGTCATTTGGGAATATGAGAATACTGTGATATGAGTGTTAGCCTGCCTCCAAACAGAAGATTGAGTAAACGGAAAGCGATTACCCGCAGAACATAATCATGAACCAATAGAGCAGGGCGGCAATCTGGACTGCTGTTTCTGCCAAGGGGATTGCGATAGCCACTGCATGAGAAAGTGTGCTAATAAACAGACAGAAAAACCAAATGAGCATGAATACCAAACCAGCACGCTCCGAGGTGCTAAAGTCCGCATCTCCGTTCCTCCACATGCCGGTTGGATAGTACCACGTGATGAAGAACATCACGCTGGCTATGGTTTGCCAAAAGAGCTCGACGACGATATTGCTGCTAACAAATATGATCCAGGAGTATGATCGATTTCGGCGTTCACGAGCCTCGAACATATCCCGTTCCGAGATGAACCGTTTGATGACTTGTTGATCAAGCATTGCGAAGAGAAGAACAACCAACAGAGAAGCAAAGGTCAGATTTGTTAGGCCTTGCATATCCAGTGTTGTGTTCGTGAATGAGAGACCATTTGAGAGAGACTGGAATTTGTAAACAAACCTAGCTTGGGGAGGGACGCTGAAATTCCACTTACAATACCTAGACAGAGGCCCAGCTTCGAATATAGGGATATCGGGTCTCTCCAATACTCCTGGAAATTTCGCTCCAGGACGAGGTAGAATTGCCGGACAAGTGGTGCCGCATACTCGCCACCGCGGGAATCTGTGAATGTAGAGTCGCCTCCAAAATTGTGTTTGAGATGTTCGAGGCGTTCCAGAACTTCTTGCTTGTGCTCACTTGAGTCCCATACTTGCGCCCAGTGACTCCTCACTGCATCTTCTGTTGGTGTTGTTATTGTTGTTGTCTGTTCTCGAGTTATCTCAATGACCCATTCAGCCGGGTTAGCATCGTCTGGGCACTTGAGATTGCCGGTCTTCTCAAAGTACTCAATCACTTTTGATCCCGAGGGACCGATATCTCCAAAATAAAGCTGCTCTCCGCCCTTCCCCAACAGCAAGATCCGGTCAAAAATTTCGAAAAGTTGCGATGAGGGTTGGTGCAGAGTGCAGAGAATAGCTTGACCGTTGTCTGCCAGCTTGCGAAGAAGCATGCAGATAGACCATGCTGTTTGACTATCCAGACCAGAGGTGGGTTCGTCTAATGCCCATTCAAAGTTAGTTACTCTAAACCGGTCAACTTGACCTTAGTGAATGCCGTATGACCTACCAAGGAACAGAAGTAGCTCCGGCTTGGCGACTAACTCGACTGCAATCGTGAGTCGTCTGCGCTGCTCAATGTTGAGCCCCTCCCCAGGCACGCCGACCACAGCGTCTGCCCAAGACTCCATGTCTAGCATTTTGAGAACTGTATCTACATAGACGATCTTGTCCTTCAATGGCACTTTTGTTTGCGGCTGCCTCAGCAACGCACTGAACTCGAGAGCTTCACGGACAGTCGTTGTTGGGAGATGAAGATCCTCCTGCTGCGCGTATCCAATGCGCCGACCGAAACTAGCATCTCGTTGGTTCCCGTCGATGTAGACATGGCCGGAAACGACACCACTCCGGGCTCTGTCGGCCAGAACATCCAGGAGAGATGTTTTGCCAGCACCAGTGACCCCCTATCACCACATATTAGGGAAAATGATTCTCCAAAGGGATGTGGACTCTTGCTTACCATCAAAACAGTCAATGTTCCTGGTTTGACCCACCCATTGCTGTCCTTGAGAATCTGACGGTGTCCATCTCTGGTCTTGATTGTGTAGTTCAAATTGTTCCAGTGAAAGACAGCAGTTTGCCTTAGGACGGTCTCCGCCGATGCATCGTGCACGAAGCTGGTGGGAGTGCCTGCTATTGGATCCTGGTCATAATTCCTCCCCGAAATATTTGTTTGATCTCCCGCCTCCTGGGTGAAGATATTGGGAACCTTGGACTCTCTATCGCCACCCCGACCCCCAGCAAGCCAATGCTTTGATGCATGTTGTTTTCTAAAGAGAAGGATTTCGCCCTTTGACCGCTGCGCCTTGATAAGTTGTGAGGCCATGAGATGCACCACAGTGAGCAGGACTAGCATTGCCAGAAGGATGCCCAGGTTGCTTTAAAGAATGAGTTAGTCGCAGCTCGGGCATGAGGACACGATTCTTGCATATCCTACTTACCGCCACAGATGACTCCTCACATATCCGAACTTCAATGCTAGATAAGTCGTTCCTTGAACGACTGAGCTCCCAGCGACAGCCCCAATAGATGAACATATTTTGTCTTGCATTTGAAGCTGATCGTATTGAGGCCCAGACGGTAGAATTGTTGAACAATGAAACTCCCGGTTATCGAACTAGTCAAGTCTGTGATTAGGCGCAAGTGTCAGATCCCCTGGGGGAAAGGTAATGCACCTACCTCATTGATCATGATGCTCTCGTACGCATAATATGCAGGGTTGATCCACCGCAGCCAGCCCATCCAGGGAACCATGTATGTCGACGGAACCGCAAACCCAGTATACACGATGGAGAGAAGCGTAAGGGTTGATACCGGGGCAAGAGTCTGCTCAATTCTTTTAGTTATAGAACCGACAACGCGGAACAGCATCGACATGGCCATTAGTGTTGTGAACATGAATAGCCAGTACGTGAAAAAGGCGCTAGCCTCGCGGCGGAGGTTGCTCATGAAGTATACAGGAATGTGGAAGAGAAACGACTCCAAGACCTTCTGCGGTAAGATGCAGATAATTGATGCGAACATCTCGGCAACGGGGTAGTAGAAGGCGTATCGGTCATGTTTTTCGACAATCGGACGTTGCGCCCAGAGGAGGGAGATCTGTTCAAAGCCGCCGTTAGTGTTGTAAGTTATCTAGATGATGGGGGAACGTACGTCAAAGGCTGGGGCAGATGCCGTCTGCATAACAGCCATAAACATCATGATTGCTTTCCTCTCCATATCTCCAGTAGAATCGTCAAGATTGAAGTAGACGGACCCGATTATAATTGCGGTGATGGCACCAGCAACGACGGCAGAAACGGCGGGAACGTAATTGTTTTTCAGCCTCAGAAACCCTCGTGAGATACACACGGCGATCTGTTGAGTAATTGACAGCGCGTAGTGAGAGGATATAATGGAACTAGTGGCATTCGATTAGTGTCCGTGAGCATCTTGTTATGACGGCTGCAGTCAGGCTAATCACCTTGGACTTCCGTTTTGCTTGTTGATAGTGTGGTGTGTAGTATCATGTTGAAGAGGGCGTGCCTTGTTGAATTCCTCAATCTCAGATCGGAGATTTTGGGAATTCTGACTCTTTTTCCAGGCAATGGCGAACTCATCTGGGGTTCTTGGCGCGGTAAGTTCGTGGCCATGCTCAATTATGCGCTCCGCAGGGTTGGTCAAAGAGGTCAGAAAGTCAGCCGTTGTGGCACGATCATGTTTCTCGAAGCCGAGTTCTGTGAAGTAGCGAACTGCTTCATCAACCGGACCAAAGTAGATTTGACGGCCTTCATACAATAGTAGGACCTTGTCAAAGTTCTAAAGCGAAGGGTCAACGACACAAGAGCTTCCATACTCGACTCGGGGTAGAAGCAACGAGAATGCTCACCTTATACATGGCTTCCGAGGCTTGATAAACGCTCATGGCAAGCGTCAGTTGAAGAGCATCAGTGGACTGCCTGAGCAATTTGATGAAACCCAGCGCTGTCGAGCTGTCTAACCCACGGGTGCTGTTGTCCCAGAACTGAAAGCGAGCGTTGCTGATGAAGGCCTCTGCAAGACTTGTGCGCCTTTTCTCCCCTCCACTGACACCGCGTATCATTGCATCCCCGATCTGTGTTTTGAAGGCCTCGTCGAGGTTGAAGAGTGAGGCAACTCTCTCTGCAGTCTTACGAGGGTTCGAGGGCGTCTTGGAAGTCGCTCTTGATATCCTGGTACTAGCGGCAAATGTTAATGTTTCTCCCACAGTGAGTTCCGGAAAATGAACATCAAGCTCTGCAAGGTATATTCGTTCATCTTTTAGGTCTTTACCCATCTGTCTATATTGGAAGCCTAGAGACAGAGTCAGTATTTATATCAGCTTAGGACGGGGCAAATGTAGTCACCGCCAAAGTTGAGCTTGTTCTCGTCTTCAAGGTGGAATCCGTGTGTTTCGCCAGCTAGGGCCTTCAGTAGAGTCGAGCATCCACTGCCGGGCCTACCAAGGGCGAGGAGCATCTCCCCCGGGCGTACCAGGCCTTCAAAGACTTTCAGAATTTGGACTTTTCGTCCTGGGTCGTGACTAAAGAAGCTCCAGACAAGCCTGGGTATGGCAAGAGCATATGAGGCGAAATTATGCTGATACTTGGTTGAGGAAACAAAGCCATGGCAGTCGAGATCCCAGTACGCTAGCCCAGCCTGATTGCTTGGGTGCTGTTTTGTTTCCTGGACCCAGCCATCGAAGGCGGATGGCATCCCCTCCACCAAAGGCTTCTCGTGAGCGTCTGACATGTTCGCTCGTAGCATGTCTTTGATGTGACGTTTGAGGGGAATGAAGATGGAACATCAAAATAGCTAGAAGGAAACACTTTTAGGACCACGGAATATCTTTGAAAATACCAACGATATGGTCAACTTACCAGAAATGAAGGCAGAAGAAGTATCTAGACGGAAAAATCTGATTAGATAGAGGGGAAATTAAGCTGGCATCTTCGGACATGGAAGCAAACGTGAGCGGCTCGAATGTTATGGTGGCACCAACTGGCCATGAATGGCACCTGACTGCAAGGGTCTATCAGCTTTGGAACTTAGCACAAGGCGGTTGGTTGGAATCCACACATAAGCAGGACCGTCAGGTTCAGCCCACGCCCCCGCGGGTAGTATCCGGAGAGATTGTTGGTAGCTTTGCATATTTCTGCACGCTCACCCTACCATTTAATTATTAATGCCGCAGCCACCGTATATAGCGATTCATGATTGGTTGTCATCATTTATTGGCACTTATGGAAGAGGTGCAGGTTACAAGGACGTAATGCGAAATCGTTCCATAGCCCTCCAATCCTCCAATGATCAGATGCGAAGTGTATGTCTCTAATTTCGGTAATTTCATTCTCATATTTATTGTTAGATTGTGCATCCAGCGTCAGTATTAGGTATCAGGATATCACACGACATAACCAATTTAACCAATGGCAATATTCTGGATCAGATAAGGTTCCGTCTGGGGCTTCTGGCCTCATGATTTTGGCATTCACAATCACCGCTACTCCGACCAAAATAATCATGCAACCCTCCTCCACTTAAGCTTCATGTCCCCCGCGGGCGGGAGGGCGTGGGCCCCTGCATAGCTGTAATCATCCCCCACGGGCAACTTTGAGGGCGATCCATCTGGATTAACCCAGCCGAGAAATTTGATATCGAACTTAGTCAAAAGCATCGCCGAGGCAAGGATAATCTGTGTCTTGGCGAGATGGCGACCGGGGCAGATATCGACCCCGCCACCTAGACGAGGCAGAATTGTCAGCCTCCACACTTGGCGTGAGAATGCTTCGGATACAACTTACCATATGGGAGAAAAGATCCTGACCGGTTCCCGAGCGAAAACTCCTTCTTCTCTGTTCTCTTCCCGTCCGAACCGATTGCCTCAGTGGTTTTAAGATGGCGTTCGCCCCAAAACTCAGAGGCAGGATGCCCGTCGGAGCCCCAGATTTCCTCATCGAGATGAGCCACATGGCTCGGCGCTTGAATTACAGCGCCAGCAGCTAAAGGATAGCCTCCGATGACAGCAGGATCCTTGAGCGTGCGGGTGATATTAATGCTGACATGCAGCCGCAAAACCTCAATGTAAATGGACTGGAGTAATGGGTTAGAAGCGAGCTTTTGAGGATCAAGTTTTTGGGAACCCGAATCGTCTTCGACGAAACAACTAGCCATGGCCTCCTTGGCTGAACGGAGCAAATCGGGATTCTTGAGAACTTCAATCAAATACCAAATAGTCATGAAAATCATGTTCGAGTTAAGCCTGTGACACAAATACTTAGTTGAGTAGCCTCAGGACAGAGCATGGAATAACTCACCCAAAGAAGAGCAGACAGTAGAGTGAGCCCATACTCTCAGAGCTGAAGTCAAACCTCTTCCCCCACCGACACAGCTCACGAGAGAGCCGCGATCCGAAATTCTCCTCGAACGCAACGTCACTCATTTCCGCGCCCCAGTCAAAGCGCTCATCCGATACCTGGTACCACTTCTCACACATGGCACGGACCGTCTCTCGGGCTCGGATGCCATCCGCATTCATCCACTCTGGCATACCAAAGGCTAGCTTCTCTGCATATATCTGGTACTTCCAGAAGGCTCCTATAAAGTCTGGGTTCACCTCAATGAGCCGGGGGCCTGTAACGGCAGACACCACTGCAGTGGCCATGTGCTGACGCAGGAAATCCTGGACGCCAACTTCTTCCCACTCGTGGCCATCAAGGGATACCCTATCGAGTTCCTTGCCAAAGAAATGCTGAAAAGACTTAGACAATGACGTTACGGCATGGGATTTGGCGAGATGCTCGTCATAGATCTGGTGCATGGCGTGCCAAATACGTTTGTTGTGTGGTGCCTCGGTACCAGGACGTGGTACCCTTCCGCCGCCTGTCGTGTCCTGCGCGAACTTTTCCAAGTCATTTGGCTGGTATCCCGCCGTCGTTGTAAGAATTCGGATGATCCAAGGGTCTGAAATGGCCGCGGGTCGAAACATGGCTGCAATGTTGCTCGCGCCGGTGATGCAGTATATGTTCATTGGCCCGAGACGGCATTGCACGACCGGGCTCTTTGAGAGTGCTTTCCTATAAAGTGGTGGCCAGATGCCCAATTGTTATTTTGAAGGCTAAATAAATGACAGGAGAGCAGCAACTTACGTCACTCGCTCGAGGAAGAGTTTCTTGTTGGTCATGTATTGGTAGACATTCGTGACGTATGGCACAGCCTCCTCCAACCTAGGTGGTTGATCCGAAACGCTTTTCTTGAAAAGAAACATAATGAATGGAACTAGTAGTAACAAAATGAGAAAAAATGCAAGGAACGGCGGAGACAAGTCTTCCATTGGTGTCGAGTCGTGGTGTTAACTAAGTCTCTACGTATTGGGTCTATTGCGAGTGGGGACTGTGGAAGTCAGAAGCAAAGCTTTTTGGGGTTAAGGGACTCTTTCACGTTCGGTACGGTAAGGCTTACTCCCTACTTCGTTGTTAGGCTGTAGTCAAGGTCCACGGGAACTGGGGGCTGGTATGCAGGGTGTTGGCAAACGGTGCCTGACACTTCAGCATCAGAATGTGGATTAGTACCTCGTAGCCCATGCATGTGTTCCTTCTCTGTGCCCCAACGCAACCCCTCGCAGTACGTACGTATTGTAAAGAGACAATAAATAACGCAGCCTTACGATACGGATCTTGTTACGCTTAGAGCCACGTTTTGCTCGTGAACAGTCGGTTGCCTAGGTATTCTACTTAATACAATGTATCAGGTGTGGGGGACTTTTGTCTGGTGTTTCATGCAAGTCACATCACCCGGACAGGGATTCTAAACGGTAGTTTCCCTTAGAAACCGTAGGATGGCCTGATTTTGTGGATATGGATGGAACCTTTGAGCACCAACACTGGGGGCGGGAACGATGCGGCCCGCGTAACACTAGTCCATCTCAATCCTTGCCCCTTGCCAACAAATCCTTGTGAGGCGGCCGCATCACAGAAATGCCAGCAAAAATAACCCATTGGATCTTTTGCCAAGATTTTCAGCCTGCCCTAATGCAACCTCCGTCGAAAGGTCCATAGACGATGGTAGCCTATCTGGTGGTTGCAAAGTGGGTGGCCGAACAACGAGCGTTTCCACACACAGCCACACGCCCTAGAACCAACGGACAGTAACATCGCAGACAGCAGCATATTTTGCCATTTGGCGTTTCCTGTCCTTTCCTCAAGAGCAATTGTGCCGATCCCATGTTTGCATGTCCATGTCAGGTACCCAAATCACACGCGAAGGATTCGCCACGCTGCATTTTTCCAAGTTGAGCACAGAACTTGCCAACGTCAAAAGAACAAATACCACACAGTGGCCGTAAGTCACTGGTGAGGATTCAGAAAGCTTCATAGAGGCACCCCTGGTGATTCGACTCTTTCCCACCTCGTATGCATGGTAAAGTGTTACAAGCGCGCATGCATATTTCCAGGTCACCTAGGTAGAAATGACGGGCAGGTTAGCTGTGGCGGGAGACCTCTGAGTATCATATTCTGGTTCATTTCTTTGAAAATCTGCCACTCCCATAGTATCTAGCTAGAGGAAAAGGAAAGACCATATATTCTTTGCAGTCCGTGTTTGATGCCCTCTTCGAGTCCCCGTACACCTGCTGAGCAGAAACCCCACCTCCCCAAAGTCTAGACTGCTATTACTCCCCCTCCCCAAGATGCTGCATTTTTCCATTTCCGTTGATGGCCTAAACAAGATGCCGACACCTGCCCAATGGTCCCTTTTGCCTGTGGTAGCCTATCTAGCATGGCGTTTGTGGGTTTTCACGATCAAACCGAAAATTTGGCCCAAAGATCCAAAGGACCTTCCCTACTGGATTCCACGTGAGTAATTTTGAATATGCCTTTCACATGCGCACTGCAGCTAATCATGATCTCAATTAGTTTTAGGTACCGAGTCTCGAATCTTTTTATGCATACCTTATTAACGACTTCAAACAACAGGGCATACGGTAACCTTTTTGGGCAATTCAGACAAGCTCTTGGAGCGTGGGCTGTGAGTGAGGTTCTAATTGTTAAACATATCAACATCTCGCCTGACATTGCAAGGAACTATACCAATCGGTCCCATGAAATCTTCACAATCCAGATGCTAGGGAAAAAGCTGTACATCGTTACTGCTCCAGAGGATGTTGCTGCTGTCTACAAAAACACTGTCTCACTGGGCTTTGATGGGCATCTGAATGATCTTCTCGTCAGTTTTGGGTTTGGCGAAGAAGCCTTGAGAAAAGCATGGCACACGCCTACCCCAGGTGATCATAATTACATCCCAAATAACCCCATCAACCCGGATCAGGTGAACTTTATTCACCATACAGAAGAAACCTTCAAAATGCAACTGCTTCCCGGGCCCCGGATGGATACGATTGGAAGTGCCTTCCTAGAGGCTCTTCATCAATCAGTTCAGTTCGACCATCTAGGGTTCTGCACATCTGCGCCTCCTCAAGCGCCTTGCAAGCACATTTCCCTCTATGACCTTTGTCGCTTCACGATGGTTGACGCAGCTACCCGGTCGCTTTTTGGGAGTCACCTTCACGACATCAACCACTGTGTTGTAGATCACATGTTAGGCTTCAATGATTATGCCTGGCAGGTCTTCTTCCGCCTACCAAGGTTTCTAGGGCTTGGGGTAAGTGAACCACAGAGCCATCTGATGGACACTCTTAGGCAATTTGTGCAGCTCCCTCAGGAGAAGAGGGCTCAGGCCACCTGGGCAATTCAGACTGTGCTTCAATCGTCGGAACATGTCGGTATTGATCTAGAATCGCGGACATCGGTCTTACTTATGATGTTTTGGGCGTGAGTACAATTTGAGTTCCCAGTTTTCCCACATGTTTGCTAACAGTTCGAAAAGGGCCAATTCTAATGAGTATAATATTGCTTTCTGGGTTATTGCTCATCTCCTCTATGATGAGGTTCTCAAAGACCTAGTTGTTCAAGAAACTGAAGCCGCATGGCAATCTGGTGCTCTTGATATTAAGTATCTATTTTCACACTGCCCTAATTTAGAGGCAATTTTTAACGAGGCACTTCGACTGAATGGGGGCGCAATGGTCAGCCGTATTGTACTGGAGAAAACCATTATAGGTGGGAAGGAACTGCAGCCTGGTAACGCAATCATTATGCCGTCCCGCCAGCTTCACACAAATGAGAAAGTCTGGGGCTCGAATCCACGAGAATTTAACCCATCTAGATTTCTCAAACACAAGACTATGACTCGACACTCTTCCTTTCGGCCTTTCGGGGGTGGCATCACGTACTGCCCTGGGAGAGTCTTGGCGAAGCATCAGGTTTACGGTTTGATTGCTCTTCTTTTCCACCGCTTTGAGATGAGCTTGGTAGTAGGCGAGGATGGGAAGAAGCCAGAGTTTCCGGTCCTGAACGACACAACGCCTGGACTGGGCATTACGGGGCCACTAAAGGGCATGGACGTCAAGGTAGAGGTTCGGGAGCGATAGGGAGGCATCACTTATGTCCTTCCAATATCTTGCCCCTTTTAGTGAATGTTTTTGTTTTCTTTAGCAAATAATTTCGTGCCAGATAAAAGGGTCAGGATCCTACAATCAGGGTCTACTGAACAGCTGATTGATCCAACACTTTGAGACCATGTTGAGCCCAGTTACTTTTTGGCCACGAACTTCCTGTCGGTAGCATATCTCTCGTAGCCCCAATAGCCTCAATCCTACAAATAGGTCACCTTTAACTTTCTAAGAGGGTGTTAATAGTTGGAGACATTCTATAATCAAGCAATCACTAGGCGGCGGCTAGTAGTCTTAGCTTCTGACATGATGCATCTGGGTCATCCAACTGGCCTTCAGGGGCTTTGCGAAGATTGAGAACAAATACCCAATCCCGGACAAAGAGGAGAGGGCGGTACTACCGGTGGAAGACATGGGGACCTGCTACCACTCGGAGAGAATGGAACGCTGTTTGGGCGCATATACACTTGATCAACCGGTGTGGTCAGACAGTGGATCTCTTCCCATCAGATGCTGACGAGGGGCATGAGCACAATGGTGGATGATCCTTCGAGTGCTGCTGCTGTTTCCTGATACGATACACGCTATTCATTGAGGGAAATCTTGTCAAATGTCCGTATTGATTTCGACCGTCCGGGCCGTCCCTTGACGCTCGGCTAGGGGCCGCGACGCTCGGTCGCATGCAGGGCCTTCAGCTAATGGTAAGGTGGGCCGGTTGTTTCCGGTTGTTTGTCAGCCAAATCACAAATGTACCTATGCATTATTCTACGCCTACCTGGTTACTGCAGACTGGGCCACTTATTAGTGTGCCTCCTCTACGCAACATCGGGGAATATGAAGCGAGGAAGGTTGGCCAGCAAAAACTTGCTCTACATGATACGTCGCGCCTTACTGTAACCAACGAGTGCAACAATAAGCTGCAGGATACTGGTGACTCTGGTGCATACGACATGCGGCGCTTGTGGTGGGTACTAACATCGAGATGGGGGCGTCATTAGCATGCGCATGATGCCAGACCAACAACAGGAACCAGTAATATCCAACTTGATCCTTGCATGCTGGCCGTATGGAAAATGAAGATGGCGTATGAATTGCCAACACATGTGTCATGGTGGCGTCAATTTCACGCTAACTTGGATGCCAAATTACATGTAGAGTCACTGATGTAGACTCCTGGTTTTCTCTTCATTGAATCAGTATAGTTTCCCAAAGAATTGGATTGCTCTACAACGTTGGATTTGTAACTCCTTTCACAATCACCATCATGGCGCTTCTGCTGAAGCTAGTCTACGCGTTCGGCCTATACGTTGCAGTGGCTTCAGTCTACTCATTGTGTCGTCTTATCCAAAATTATCGCATCGCTCGCAGGGTCGGAGTTCCCATACGCTTCGTTCCCATAGATCATAATAATCGACTCTGGCTTGTTGTCGATAGAAAGGTGGCGTGGCTCCTCAGACGTTGGTTGCCATTCGGCCTCGGCGACAATAACCTCACTAGATTCGACTGGAGAGGATGGGAATTCGAGGACAAGTACAAGGAGCACCTCTTGCTAGGGGACGCGTTCATGCACGTGTCGCCTGACAAAAACTGGCTCTATGTCTGCAACCCAGATAGCGTTCTTGATATTCTGCGTCGTAGTCGAGACTTTCCACGTCCTATGGAAATTTACGGTGAGTAGAACATGGCTGGAGAACATAGGACGGAGCTGACAGAGATAGAATTATTGAACTTCTTTGGCCCCAATCTAGCCACGGTGAGTTTGCTCCTTTTTCATTCTTCATTTTTCGTTGCTCCTACTGACAGGCGTGTTTCCTGTAGGTCGAGGGCCAACAATGGAAAACCCAGCGGAGAATGGCCATGTCTTATTTCAACGAAGCTAACAACGAGATGGTTTGGCATGAGACGGTGTCGCTGGCAAGCGATGCGCTCCATTCATGGGCGTCTAAGCCTTTTGTCACGTCCACAGCCGACGATACTCGTACTATTACACTGCACGTACTTTCCAAAGCCGCGCATGGGAAATCCAACAAGTTCTACAGTCGGGATGATCAAGAAGACGTCAACCCCGAAACTAATTACAAGGAAGCTCTACGCATTGTCCTAGACAATACAATGTTGATTGCAGCGCTAGGCAGGAAATTCCTGGCCAAAAATTGGTTGCCCAGGGCTCTCAAGAAGGTCAACACAGCTTGCGAAGCTTTCCAGAGACATCTTACTGAAGCTTATGAGGATGAGAAACAAGCACTGATCTGCGGACGATCATCTTCCAAGTCCACCTATATGGCGTCCCTCATTCATGCATCCCAGGACGAGGCAACTGGTTCAACGGGAGGCCTTACAGAAGATGAAATATATGGCAACATGTACATCTTCAGCTTTGCCGGTCACGACTCGACTACACATACCCTCACATTTGCCTTGATGTTGATGGCGGTAAACCCCGACGTCCAAGACTGGATCTCCGCCGAGGTCCAACACGTCTTTGGTGATCAGAATCCCAGTAACTGGAATTACGGGACGGGATTCCCTCGACTCCATCGTTGCATGGCAACGATGCTAGAAACTGCTCGCTTGTTCACCCCCGTACCCATCGTCAAATCCACTGGGAAACGGGCGACGTCGCTCAAGGTCGGAGACAAGATTATAGCAGTTCCTGCTGACACCCACATCATCCTCAATTATGCTGCTTTACACACTCTACCCAGGATTTGGGGTGAAGACTCGCTAGCGTGGCGCCCGGCACGATGGATCCAAGGCAGTCCCAACGGCGAGTTTGACATGGAGCAAGTGGTCTGGCCACAGCGCGGGGCCTTCATTGCCTGGTCCGAGGGTCAGCGTTCTTGCCCTGGCAGGAAATTTTCACAGGTTGAGTTTGTTGGCACTATGGCTGCACTGTTCAAGGACTGGCGCGTTGAACCTCTTACCATGGCTGGAGAAAGCATTGAGGCTGCTAGGCGGCGACTCGTGCATCAAATCTCCACGGATTCAGCGCAGATTCTACTCCTACAAATGTTACATCCTGAGAAGGCACCCTTGGTATGGAAAAAAAGGGACGCTGGTAAGTAGAGTTGGTAGTTCAATTCAACCTCACCACGCGTAAGCTGTGCACAGGGAGCGATGGCGAGTAAGACAAGATGAAGATATTCCTCCAGTAGACATCCATTTAGCATGTTTTAGGCTGCTATCTACTAATGTAGTTCTGAATATCTTAAACAATTTGCTACTCGTGAGTGTCATTAATCTCTTCCTAACAAGGCATAGGCGTGTCCAACGATCAATCAATGGTGCCCAAGGTATGACCATCAAATCTTCAATCAGCAAAACCCTAAGATCCTATCAAAGACCCGGTTCTGACAGTTTTGACACATCAATATTTTCACACCTTCAGCACGCGTTGCATTCCAAAGAAAGACGTTGCAGCAGGCGGCAGCGTCCCATAGCTGCATCACAGTGTTACTTGATGCAACCTACAGTTCGCGCGTCCCACTGGTCCCATCTTCCGTTCCAAAGTTCCGCCGAGCAATAAAGGGTGTGTCTCCATCCAAAAGTTTGAGAAATGGCCGCGGGGGGGGCTTGCATGATAGGATTGCATCCATGTGAGCACGCCGAGTTGCCCAACGAACCTCAAGCATCCCTCTTTTATGAAGTCCTTATCCTGCAGGTATTGACTGTTGGCTGCTCACAGCCCGCAGTTTGATTACTCCGTATTACTCTGGTCGTCAAGCTGAGACAATTTGTGCTCACAAGATGCCATTACCATCCACCCCCAATACGACAGTAGTAGTGCATCAGTGTGGAGGGAAGGATCAGGATTTCCATTGTTAGATCGAATCTTACGACCGGCTGAAAATCATACTTCAATATGCAATATTACTGCCCACTGTATCTGTTATTTCTAGTTATAGGATGACCAACAATTAACCAAACGGTCAACCCCCGCGTTTAAAGCTCAACATCTGCCCTAAACACCCACGTCAATATTCACTACAGAGTCCTCGGCATACATCAGATCGTTAACCAATTTCTGACAATATTCAGGGCCCAAGTGCTGCAATTTACCAGAGGCAGTCCAGTCTACTACCTCCAGCTCCACGCTAGAATGTCCAATCCCAACACCAACCAGGGGTTGTTGTCAAGGACAGCTAGTCCGTCTCCGGACCGTGGACCTATGATGCTTGGGGTAACTTCTATGCTGATGGTTGTTTCTACAATTGTGTACATCACTCGCACTTGGGTGCGGGCTCAGCGTCGAGTTAAGTTGGGCTTAGATGACGCTCTACTTTTGCTGTCTTATGTCTGACCATCCCACACCACTCACATGATACATTGGAATGCTCACAACTTACTAGATACTCATTGCGGCCGACTATGCGTTGGTTGTGACCGAGATCACCCACGCGGGACTGGGCAAACCTATTGTTTTAAATATGATCAATGATCCTACTAGCCTCACCAGGTTCATGAAGGTGTGTGGTGGCTAACTTGAATATCCACTACTCTAATTGACTAATCTTTTTCTTATAGCTGCTCTACACTCAGCAAATCTTTTTCCCATTTCCGATAACAACCATCAAATTCAGTTTTCTTGTAATGTTCTGGCGCCTGTTCCCTACCAAGTTTATGAAGTGGGGAACCATTGTTCTCTCCATATTCTTCACCATGTGGCTTATAGCAGTCGTCGTCCCAACCATTTTCCAATGCTACCCTGTCTATAAGATGTGGAATCGCATGATGCCTACAGGGTTTTGTAATCCAGGCATCGCACTGTGGATTCAATGGATTGACAGTGTTCCGCAACTTCTGAGCGACATCTTCCTCTTCTTGCTCCCGATCGTCGAGGTCAAACGACTGCATGCCTCCAAAGGCACCAAGGCGGGTATCAGCGCCATCTTTGCTTTGTCGTCCTTAAGTATTATCGGTAGAATCATGGTTTTAGTGGAGGGTGTCAAGACAACTAACAGGGGCCAAGAAGTTGATATCACATGTAAGTTCACCCATCTATCCATTCTGGGGACCGGACCGAGAACAATGCTAACCCTGTATTGTCTTGACTTGCTTTAGACGAATTACCTATCCCTTTACTGTGGGCTCACGTTGAATTGTCGACAGGATTCATTTGCCACTGTTTGGTTGCCCTGCGCCCACTTTTAACAACCTTCTTGGCTTGGACCGGTCTCTCTGCAGCAGAAAAGTCGAACAAAATTTCAGACAGGGACATCATTACATTTGGACAAATGGGAAGACGAGACGACGTCAACCACAAATACCGAAGTAACTCGTCTCAACGGAATTTATACCATGATGCGACGGTGTTGTCAGATAACTTAGTAGACAATCGCTCGTTCGAGCTATTAGAGGACGATGAAGCCAACAACACGTCTTTTAGATCGGAGGCCACAAGAAACCAGCATATCCATACCTTCCCGGTATCACACGAGGCGGTGTCTCGCCAAGTCACCTCACCTAACGCTATCAATGTCAGTACGGATTTCCGGTGGAATGAAAACAGGCAGCCTGTAGGTCAACTTGATCCCAACGCCACAGGGGTTGCAAACGGAAGCACACAAATGGCACCACGGCCATGGTGAGGCTAGTGCCCACTGCTCTAGATTCAATGGAAGCTATATATCCATATGCCATGGCTGGAATTAGCCCACTATCGATCAATATAGGCACTTTTCAACCTTCGTTAGTATTTTAGCCGCAAGCTGTCGAAACAAGGCCTCATGGCTTGTGTGGAAGCGATCTCATCGCATATGCCCTCATATTCTGAGCAGAACTCACAATTCAGATTGGGTTCCCCCAAATTTTCTCACATAGATACGATCATATCAAATTTAAAACTACGACTGTAGTCTGACGGAATACAACAGTGTCATATAAAATCTACTACTTCGTCTTAATTCCCAATTCTGAATACAAAATTATCATGAGCTCCTATGGTGGACATCGACCCTTTTCTGAAATTCAGTGGTAGGAAATTCATACATGCTTCAGCTGATTGCCTTTTCCATTAGTGATGGCGGTCTCACCCAGCCGCTCGATCGCCTCTGCCGCTGCCAAACCCGAGAGAATTTCGCCAATAATCACCCTGTAGCGTTCCTACTTGCGGGAAGCGCCTCGGGGGTAGTCTAGGGCACGATACTCAAAGTGGAAATGTGCAATGGATTACCAAACCTTGGCAATCAATGACTAAGGGTGACGATAACCGAGTCATACAGACCCTCACGCTGACAGACTCAAAAACGGTGGACCCCATACTTCAATTCGGGTAGCTTTGCAGGAAAGCGGTAGGATTCATCGCCTGGGGAGTCAGGGGGTCGAGGTGAACTGGTGGTGTCAATTACACAGGGAATTGATATGACCGGCGATATGCAATACACGTTGTGACATACACCTTATGAAACATAAAGTCTTGATTAATTTGACATCAATACCGAGAGACATCCTTTGCAAAGCCAGCTTCGTTTAGCCGCGATTCTTGACCAGTGTCTCAAATTTATGCTCTGGAATCGCCATCACCGCTTGGCCTGATATGGTCGACGCAGGAAATCAAATGGTATAACAGGGCCGAAAGTCCGGATAAGTGGCCGCCCAATAGAAGCGAGAATAGCGAGTCTCGAGATCATTCAGTCCTCCAGGGGTGGGTTGGTTGTTGCAAACCTTTCAATAAGCAGTTGGCCGAGTGCCGACCACACTAGGTATGCGGAATTTTTAATAACAATCTGGTCACTGTGTCTTCACACCCATGCTTGATCCAATTAGGTATTCTTGATACTCCTTTATAGCAGGGGCTGGCAAGGGAAAGATGATTATTGGGCTCTAAGCATCTTAATAAATTCCCCGTACTTCCCACATTTGCCACCGCGGCAGATCGACTTTGCCATCTCCGGGCAACAATCCATCACCCACCGCCCGAATTAACCTCTTCAATCGGAACTACGGCCTTTGCGGAGCCTCCAACAAATCCCGGGAATTATACCTTGAAATGGTAGCGATCCTCAGTGGCAAAATCCAGTCAGCCCTATCGTTCGGTTCATTCCGACCCGAGAGAATACTCACGACGTAATTCGACTGTCGTCCCCTTTCATTTTTTGCCATGTATCACCCTGGCCAATTTGATGAGGCTCCAGTGGCCGGCCAGGAGCACCCGACGCCATCGAATGCCCACTCCGTATCATCCGACGGATATGATGAGTCCTCACCAGTTAGTAATCCAACAGATTATTCTTGAATTGTTCCATTCTTCGCTATATACTCACAGCCCAACAACTGCGATGAAACACGGCTGATTTACATCTTTTGCTTAGGATTCATACGAGATTGTATCCCCAAGCGGAGGGCACCTAGCCTATCAATACACTCGCGACTTTCAATTTCAACCACGCTCTAGTTTTCCGGGAATGGTAGGGCCGTGTGAATTATCCCTAGCTTTGCCGAATATTACTACTCCGAACAAGAAGCACCTGTCACTATCGAAGGACTGCGAAGACGAACAAAAGAACGAAATACGAGCCGAGATATCGTTTGGAGATGATGCCAGAGCGAATAAAGCCTTATATGAGACTGATAAGAGTAATGATAACGGGACAAATGATGCTGAATTGAAGAGGAGGGTCCGAAACCGTGATGCGTACGTCAGATCTTTCTACTACCACGACAATGCTGAGCAATTGTCATGCTGACGTTGATTTAGTCAGCGTGCGCACCGAGAACGAAAAGAACGTCGCTTAAAGAGCCTAGAGGAAGCTCTCAAGCGACTCGAACAGTCACAGGTACACACCGAGAGGGAGAATGAACGCCTAAAGAATGATCTTCAGGTAAAGACAGTTGAGAACAAAGTCCTCAAGGCCACCACTTCCTCAAGTGGTGATACCGGGACCGAACATCTTGTGATTGGCTCTCCACCACAGCTGAGTTCCGCAATCTTCATCCCCAAAGTTCTTAGAGGGCATGGAGAACAAATTGGGGGCCAGCAATCCATGTCATCCGATGGGCAGAGGCGGCTTTCTCCTAGCGCTGCTTGGGACTACGTGGTCCAACATGAGTTGTACAAGCGTGGCGCCATCGATATGTCAAGTCTTGGGACGCATGTGCGAAAATATGCTAGGTGTAACGGGAATGGACCTATTTTCTATGCAAGCGATATAAACAAGGCAATCCAGGAGAGCCTAGTGGAAAGATCCAATTCTCTCATGGACGAAAACGACAGTTAATCTCTCTTTTCTAATCAAGTGCTGGCCTGTCGCTTACTTCATACATCACTGTTAGTCTCCATTGGACATTCGTTTAGCAGGTAACTGTTGATTTGCTTCATTTTTCTTCATAGCATTTTACGTTTTGAACTGGAGATGTTTTGAAGATAATACCGTGTTTCATATGTAATGAATAATGTTATTGTCATGAATGAGGGATACAGTTTGGGTTTGATTTATTGCTTCTATCCTATCTATACTTCTGACTCTATTGTTTATTTATGCCTTCCATCTGAGAAGTGTGAAGCTCAGGCGCTCAAAGCGGTATGATGCATCGGTTGCATTCCATACAGACTCTCGAATGTTGACTTTTTCTTCATTTTCCGAGTTGGTATCGGCAGATTTGAAAGCTTCACCGCCAACTGTGAATACCTGGACTTCACTTCCAGGGCAAATACCATTGAGCTTAGTAGTGTAGCCCTTCTCTTCGTCTGAGTTCACAATAGCCACATTCATCCACCCGTCACTGTCAATGGTGGCGCTAACATCAAGCTTGGGGACCGAAACAGTCGTTTCAACCCATCGGGGGAACGTCTCCCCTTGATACGTGCCCGTGCGAGTATGCACAGAAACTGCCTTTCCGTGCATGTACTTTGAGAAGAGCAACAAGGGGAAGTATGTGGTCTGCTTCCAGACGCCGCGGGGCGTTGTCATAAGAGGAGCAATGACGTTGACACTTTGAGCAATGGTGGCCATGCCAATGTCCTTGCAGTTGCGCACAAAGATATTCAGCCAGATGGCAACTGCCAACCCATCGCTGAGGGTATACTGTTCCTCCCCACCCTTGTTGCCAGGGGCTCGTTCCGGATCCCACACATTCCACTCGTCGAAGCAAATCGTGGGACGCTTTGCGCTGTTTGGCTTGGTGATGATTCGCTCGATATCTGGGAAGGGCGAAAGGTCGAACTCGCACCGAGCAAGATCGATAAGGGATGAACAGACTTGGATAGCTCGTTCAGCGGCGTAGACGGAAGATATGTTTTTGTAGTGGCCCTTGCCCATGGAGTAGTAGTGAATCGAGTGCATGTCTACCCAGCGGAGGCATTGCTGAAGAGTGTAGCGATCCCAGTCTGAATAACCATCCTTTCCGCACAAGATCAAAGTAATGGAAGGGTCGAGAAGTTTTAATGCTGTGGAGACGTCAATACCTGCTAAGGGGGCATCCACGAGCCTGAGAGTAACTTACCTCGAGCCCATTGGATTGCCTTCTTAGCATAGTCCTCCTTTGTATGCTGTTCTACCTGCCTTCAACCTTACATTAGCTGATGTCGTCCGATCTAGTACATGCTGTGTGCTTACCATGGCCCCCACATCTCGTTTCCCAGAGCCCAATACTTGACATTGTATGGCTTTTCGTGGCCATTCTGTCGTCTGAGGTTTGCATAGTGTGTGTCCTTGTCGCCATTGCAATACTCCACCCAGGCAAGAGCATCCTCCAGCGTCCCTGTGCCCATGTTCAAACATAGATAAGGTTCGGTACCAACTACTTTGCACCATTCCATGAACTCGTCTGTGCCGAATGTATTAGGCTCCACTCCCTCCCATGCCAACTCTGGTCGCTTCGGGCGGTTCTCTTTGGGTCCAATGCCATCTTGCCATCGGTATGAGGCGCAAAAGTTGCCCCCTGGGTATCGAACGACCGGGACTTGAAGTTCCTTGAAGTATGAGATGACATCCCGCCGAAATCCGTTCTCGTCAGACAGTTCCTTGTTATCTGGCTCGTAAAGACCACCGTAGATACAACGGCCCATATGTCTACCTAATATTAGCTTACTACCACCAATTGACCGATATCGTTGGAAACAAACTCGGTAAAGCCTCCATAGATGAGAGGATTGACGTCCGCGATGGTATTGGCTGGGTCGAATGAGATCGAGGTCGACTCGTCCTCGGTGGAAAGAAGGGTTAGGGTAGTCATTTCGGCACCGTCGTGATTCTGTTTACTGAGCTGGGCCTAGGATGTCTGGAGAGGATATAGAGCGGCGTGGCGTTGAAGGGGGAAGAGTAAGAGTAGAAATACCCTTTGCCTCATGATGACTGAAGACGAAGATGCCAAGTGAGCTTCTTAACTTAAGCGAAGATCAAAATTTAGAAGGAGAAAAAGAGTACACTGACTAAATGTTTGAGCCTTTGGAAATTGTTATTATCCTACGAGTTAGGAGGTTTAGATGTGGGCCGGGGAATATCGGTGCAGATACCGATCGGGGAGTATCGCAAAAACTTCCGCCCCTCTCAGCCTGGAGTCGCCGTAACCATATTCAAACCGGGGATGTCGTGTGTACGTCAGTTGGCTCCCCCAATTAGCATAACTTACCCCAAATGCGCTACTTGAGCCCATGGGGTTGGTTCGGAGTCAGTCTCGTGGGAAGAAGAAATCTACTAGTGGCTCTCACCCCAGAAACTGGGATCATCATCATACGAATCGGGAGTCAATAAACCAAGCGTTGTCTTGACTCGCCTGACATGGGGAGCCAGAATATTTACATGCTTTTAAAGTTCAATAATTAGACTAGGATGTTGCCTCCACACCTAATTGCGAGGTGAGGCTTCTTAAGCACTCCAATAGCACAGTCAGATCCGGGCTCTCGGGCTGCCAGTATTCTATAGCACCAATGACTTTGATAATCGAATGCTCCCATTCGGGTGGCAGAATTTGTGACAGGGAAGACTCTGATCTTGCTCGGAATGCTACGGCCAACAGCTGGAGCGCGCTCCGAGAGCATGTTCTCAACATTAACCATGTCCCTTGATGTCGCACCCAATACCCTTCCTCGGAAATGGTGATGCGGTACACAGCGTTCTTTAGAGCCTTTTGTGCGATCCCAATGACTGAGGAAGTAAGTTCCTGAATGGGCTGGCAGGATATAGCTTGAACAGCAGGGAAGTAAAGTACGTCGAGGATATCAACCAGGTGGGAGCGCAGTATTGCTTTGAGGGTATCCCCGATCTTGTCGCTACCCTCGCGAGGGAACGCCATCGAAGGTGGTAACATGTTTTGCCAAGTTTCAAGTTTGACTTCATACTTCTCTACGTATTGTTGAAATTCTCTCTCACCTGTGGTCGCCCACCATCCTGGTGTAGAATACCAGGAGCCTGTCCAGTAACGGGAAGACAAAGCCTCGTTCATGATGCGACGAAGGGCAATTTCCGCAAGATAGAAAAACCACCCAGTTTCTAGGTTCTCTCTTTCGCGTAAAGCTGCTGAATCAGGCCGCATTCTCCCGCTACTGAGCTGTCGTGGGCTTGGCGGAGATGGGTATAAATGGGTATACTTCATCTCATTGAGGCTGGAGCCCGGAAGTCCCAGTTCAGTTCTCAACTCTCTATCACATGACTCGTGGTTAGCATCCTAGTAGCTCAACCAAATCGCATGTAGACGTACAGCTCGCTCTTCAGACAACTCCAGTAGAGGCTGTCTTCCATGTGTTGCTCGATATCGCCGGATGTTGTCTTGTGCAGAATGATTTCACTGGTGTGGCCATCCATTGAATCCTGGATATGGCCTCTGGCAGCAAGCCACCCTACGCATTGGGTTCCAGCCTGAGAAAACGCTTTCCACGCGGCCATTATACGGAGCGTAGACATTAGATAGACGGCCGTCAAGAAGCTACATTGTGCGGATATGAGAGAGTTGGCATGATGCAGCATCCCGATTCGACGCTGCGCCATTTGGAAGTATGCCTCAGCTCTCTCCAGCTGCTCCTTATTTCTTGACGGGCCGGGACAGCTCTCAGAATTTATTGGAGCGGATATAACGCTCACGGCACATATTAGGAGCTAGACCGAAGGTTAGCTGAAAGGTGAGCTCAAGCCAAGTTTTGGTGTTTTAGCATACCACGAGACACGATGGCCCGTCCCATCTTAGACCAGTCTCGGCCATGGCTCTGACATAGCTCCACAGTAGGTCGATGTCAAATATCGGGTTCTTCACGTGGTTTAGTGATAGAAAGTTTTCGACTAGCCCAGTTATCACCTCAGAGTCAAGGTCAAACATGCCGTTCCCTGCTTGACTCGGAGCTTCAGCATCTTTGCTGCCAAGACTAGCTGTGAGTGATGGGTAGTTTTGAATACCGAAAACCGGCCATCGAAGCAGACTTTCGACCTTCATTTCCGAGCTCCAAGTAATGACATCTGCAGAAGGTGGGCGGTTGCTGTCTGGTTCCACTGCTCTGGGAACTCTTGGCATGGGTCTGTTGCCGTGCGGCTGGGATTCGTTTGCCAGGTTCGGGTCTGGGCGAACAGACTGAGGCGAGGATGTTACCACCGTTGGTTGGTCCCCACTAATCAATGCCGCAAGGTTCTGCTCGACTTCACCCAGGCGTTGCAGGATGGCCAGACTGGCTTTGTCCAATCTGGAATGATCCGATACCAGATCCCCGGGATAGACGCAGGACCCCCCGGTAGCAACGCAAAAGCCGCAGATCGGGCGCCTATTGTCGCATTTGGTCTTTCGTGCCCGGCAGACTGAACAGGCGCCGCCAGCTCGACGCCGATTATACGAAGTTTCCTGGCGCGACATTGGACAACTGCTGCCGAAGTGGCGCGGGTTGAACGGGGCTGGACAAGGAGGGAAACGACTCAACACAGGTGTTGGATAACTCCTGCGGTATTTCCGAGTCAAGGAGTCAGCTAAATAGGTGGAGATCAGATAATGCCTGCTGTGAATGCTGGATGAGTATATGAGTATGGTGCAGGTGACCCGTCTCGTAGGTGACTCAAGTAGCTGATCTCGCATGGCACCATTGGAAGCGACGGAATTGTTTAGCATCGGCCTAACCACCGATACTCCCCGATGGCAATTCAACCTAGTGATTGGGCCGCTTAGTTCAACTGGTCCAATTTTTGAGTCTGCTGAGCCTATCCCAAAACCTTCTAGGACGCGGTGGAGTAAAGCTGGGGAAACCCCAGACCGAAGAGTTCCCAGACAACCATTGCTTCCTGCATGAGCATCCGATCGAACCCTTGGCTGAGCATGTAGGCCCTCGAGGCAGTTCAACGTCGTGTTCTGACTCTCTATAAATACAGCGCGTGTCTTCTTGTTTATCCATCCACCGTTGTGTCTTGTCAAAGCATCCTCTATCAGAGCTTCATCAATTTTTCTCCCCTGAGGTTTCCCAAATTTGCCCAGCATGGTCTCGAAAGCCAAGAGTCACGACACAGAACGCGTCGAGCACATACATGATGCGGACAATGAAATCGGCCAACTTGCGAACCAGCAAGAACATGAGCTCAGTCCGCTGCAAGCAATTCTCAAACGCCCAAAATCCTTCGCGTGGGGATTGTTCGCCATTTCTACCTGCTTACTTGTTTCGTTTGAGAACCAGGCGGCAGGAATGGTCCTGAGTGTTCCCGAGTTCCGAAAAGATTTCGGGCATGAGTTCGCGGGCGACTATGTCCTTGATGCCGACTGGCAATCAGCTTTCTACGGCGGCCCTGTCGCGAGCTCTGTCATTGGCACGTTCTGTGCGGGCTACCTAGCAGATCGTTTTGGACGCAAGCCACTCCTGATTACCGCTCTACTCATCTCCTTTGCTGCTATCACCCTTGAGTTTCTGGCTACCTACAGCGCAATGTTCTTTGGCGGTAAATTTCTCAATGGCTTCGCAATCGGAACAATTCTTTCAGTCTCCGTGACGTACATCGGCGAGGTAGGCTGACCCAAATTTATACCAGTCTTACACCAGCTAATCATATGGGCGTTACCAGGTTACTCCCCTTGCACTTCGCGGTATCCTTACGTGCCTGACGGCCCTCATGATGACGCTCGGCCCGCTCACGTCTGCCATCATTATTGATAACACTGGCGATTTCGATACTCGATGGGCATATCGTGCTGTATTTTGCGCTCAATACGGGTTTGCCGGTATCTCGACACTCTTCGTGGGATTCATGCCAGAGTCTCCGGTATGGCTCTTGAGCGTGGGGCAAGAAGAGAAGGCTGCGAAATCACTGACGCGACTGGGCTACGATGGACTCGATCTCGATATACATCTGGCTCAAATGAAGAAGATGCTACGCGAGGCCAAGGAAGAAGTTGCCAATGCAACATATATTGACTGCTTCCGCCGCTCCAACCTGCGCCGCACAATTATCTCCATCATGCCTCTTTCGATCCAGGCTCTCAGTGGTGTCTTTTTCATTGCGTCATACGGCACATACTACATCCAGCTTGCCGGATATAGCACAGCGACGAGCTTCAAGCTTCAAATCGCCCAGCACGGTCTAGCAATGGCAGGCAACATATGCTCTTGGTTCCTCATCGACCGAGTTGGCCGCCGACCTCTGATGCTGTGGGGAACAGTTTCTGTGACGGTCATTCTCCTCGTTGCTGCAGGCTTGGCGACCGCGGGGAGCCCAGCTGCCATCAAAGGCTCCGTCGGCCTTATCGTTGCGTACAACTTCGTCTACAATATTTCCATTGGAGCTTCGGCTTACACGCTTCTTTGCGAAGTGGCGACGTCACAATTGCGAATCAAGACCATTTCGATTGGCGTTGCGCTGCAGAATGTCATTTACTGCATCTGGGCCTTTGTCATTCCGTATGTCTTCAACCCGGACCAGGCCAACCTTCAAGGCAGGACGGGATTCATCTTTGGAGCTCTCGGAGTCATCTGTGTGGTATATCTGTGGTTCTATCAGCCCGAGACGGCCAATCGTAGCTATGAGGAGCTGGATGAACTCTTCAGGAAGGGGATTAGCGTACGTGACTTTGGCAAGTACCAGACCGAGGCAGAGGGGCGGGACAAGGTTGGTGAGAAGCAGCCTTGAAAACTTCGGTAGTGATATGCAGATCAATACGAACGTCACACCTTTGACTCTCTGATAGCGCCTTATCCGTTGCGTATGAAATATCTAGTCGATTGATTTCCTTTTCTTGCAGTGTCTTGGGAAGGGACAAATCTGCTCTCTCGATTGACCTCGCCTTGTTGATGCTGGTGCCGAATTGCACGACAGGTAGCAGGAGTAAAGGCGCCTTCAACAGACAAAGACCACTTTGGGAAGCAGGGGATGAGAATTGATATTACTAGCAATAAATAAATGTAGACCAGACTAATGGACCACGACATCCATTTAGGGAAATCCCAGAATGCAGCGGTGAGTATGTGGACTGTTACGTGATCTTCCTTGAACAAAAATTGAAACGAACCACCGTGAAGTATGGCACGTTTCAGAGTGATGTCAAGGGTTCCGGGTCTCGGATGTTTACAAGTAAACAGATGCTACAAAGTACCTACCTTGACGTGCCTTTTGACAGGGTGTAGATTAATTCAACAGAGACAAGGCTCGTGAAACCCGACATATGAGGCATGGCAGTTTTCTTCTGCCATCTTGCACATGCTACCAGTGGTCCAAATGACCAAGGCAAGGCCTTGAGAAGTCGTTGATTCACATCGCCGCATGAAGGGAAAATATTTTCAGGAGAGAAAGTTGTCGAGGTTTGGGAAATTTTCCGGGGCTATTTATTGGCTGACTACATGTGCCTAGTCAGGAACAATACTTTTACCGAACAGTTGCTCAGACAACGTCTGTGTGGAACCCAATCTCTACCCCTGACGTGTGTTTTCTAGGTGCCTAGTCTCTTGAAATTTCTTCCATGACCATAATCATTTTCGCTATTCGTAGTACCCATCCATTGACCTGTTGATTCAAGTAGCAGTTTATTCTCCAGGGTGTGCACCTTAATTAAGCTTAAAAAAAACTCGCAAATCATCGATATAGTAGACTTAACCTCCCCCCATTCCGGCTCAATCAAAATACGCACAGTCAATCGATTCCTTCGCTGTGGTGGGATTGGGAATTAATCTTTCAATTTGTCAGCAATTTACAGCTGAAGACTCTGCCGTCAATAGAGTATATTGAGAAAATATTGGCCAGGCGCTGCGTGTTCAAGTTACTCGGATGACGCCGGCTCAGACATGGTACAAACTGTGATGAGTAACCGCTAACTTTTCCTTTGAACATACAGCTTAGACGTGTAAAAATACATATTCACTATGGGAGACTGGGTCTCGGTTTCTTCTGTGTATTGGAGCTATGATTACGGAACCTGCTTGACACAGCCCATTCCTGGCCACAAAGTCCCGGAAGATGCATCGGCCGTTCGTCCCCATTGCAAGGTGAACTTTTGGCTGCTCAGCGGCCTCCGCATCCATTTCAAACCGCCCGCGCCACTTCTCAATTGGGAGGCCTCTGCAGACTCCTCAATATACTCCCACTGTTCAGTTTGCCTGTCCTTGCGCATGAAACGAAAGATCAGCTTGCTCCCCGCCTCCTCAAAAAGATACACTCGCCGACAAAGCCGCCGCCATTGCACCTCTGAAGATTCTCCAGTGATGTTCTCAGCCTCGATGTCCTGACTCTTTTTCGCTATCTCGAGAAGCAGGTGACTACTCCATAGACCATCATGTCTAGGATACGCCTCCAGCACCCGCATCGCGCTCAGACGCACCTCAGGATCACGGCAGTTTATCGCCACGAATGCCAGATGCCATGTAAGGCCAGTGTGCATAGTGAAGATATATGCTGGTCCCCTTGGTTTCATATTTTGTTGGCAGAGTAGAACCTCGCATAACTTGACGATATCGCGGCATTTGGGGGTTATCGACTCAACATAGTCGTAGTCTCCAAACTGTGCAACATTGCTGTGAATAGACAGGGCCAGGTATTCAACATAAAGGCTGACAATGGACCAGTCGGATATCTCGTCTACATGGGATGCATCATGGTGTTGATAAAGAGGCCAAAACGCTCTCCGCCATTGCTCTAACTGAGCACACGCATTACTCGTATACGACCTAAGCTCACTGGAGCTCCGGAAACGATCAATGGCCTTGTCAACTGCTGAGTGATCTGCGGCGTTTTCGGCTAGTAGGTTCCTCACCACCCTCACAATATCAGGGCCCATGTTTTCGACTCGGCGTGTCATGGCAACCCAATGATACAAGGCCTCTTCCGAATTGGAGAATGTCTCTGGGTGGGAGCCCAAACCTTGTCGTGGGTTGAAATAGCGATCCAGTCGCGAATTAATATCGCGCATTTCCTCGGGGCTAGCCTTAACTCTCTCGGGCGAAGTTCCTATCTCCAAGTTCCTTGCGTCTATGCGGCCGCCTACTATGATTTGAGTCTGGACGCCCAGTCGCGAGTACAGACTGACAACCTCGCTCATCAGCTCTCCAGGCTCGGGCGCAAGCTGGTTAAGAAGTGACATGGCATTCGGTCCGCTGCATAGGCCGCGTATCATCGACAGGCCATGAGACACATGCTCGAGTGCGGACTTCAAATTACGGCAAAGACTTTCAAAGGTTGCAAACAGGATAGATAGCAATACCGCATCCAGGGTATTGACTGCAGAATGGCTGGATTGAGCTAATGACCGTATGGCTTTGCAGTAATATTCGATAGCACTCTGATAATGACGATGCTTGTCAGCATCATGACCCGTTGATTGAGCAGATAGCGCGTGGCTCATTGCCCCAATACTCAAGGCGGCATGACGGAGCACGGTGCTTTGGCTCGTGAGTTGCGGCATGAAGGTGGACCACAACTTGCTTGAGGTAAACCCACTGAGTGGCGCCTCGGCGAGGTATCTCCATTCGTCGAAATACATCATTTGGTAGTCGTCTTCGAAGCTGAGCCCTACCACTGGCTCAGTGATGGTTATGCATGCCTGCGAGCCCTTGCTCTCAAAGGCGAGGCGGCGCCGATGCCTCCACGACTGATTCTTCCGGGGTTTGATATAATATCCGCCACAAACGCCACGGGTAGTGAGGCACCTCATACATGCAGGTTTTGTTTCATCACATTTGATATGGCGTCCCCTTGTGTCGGTCAGTTAGGCGTGCCAGGGGCTGTCGAGCTCACTTACTTGCCTGTTCAAGATAAGTTGAAGAAGATACTAAAGCAAGTAGATGTAGACTCACATGTTACACAGCCAGTCCTACTTTTCGGAGTCCCAGCCCGCGAAGGCTTGGGGGCCTCGGGTGGGCTACCCACATCATTGAACTCCAATGACATTGGATGGGGTTTCCAAGACTTCATATCTGCAGCGTCAGTTTTACGAGCTTTGCCGTAGTGCCTGGAACGAGGGAAGGAGTTGACTTAAAATGGCAGGAAGTTGGTGCTTACCAAGCGGCAACGAGTGAGATTATATCAGCAAAAGGGTTAGTGCGTTGCTCGTTGCTTATGCCATGACTCGCTTTTACGACACTTGCATAAGGCCAATCATGTCCTATCAATGGGCATATCTTCAAACTGCTCCCGCCTCATCAAATATCTAGGCATGATCAGTGATCATATCAGGGAGCAGTCAAACCAGGGGACTTGGGAAACTGAAAACGCGGTCTTTTAGGAGAAGAAATAATGCAAATTAACAGCTCGCCTATCTTCCAGGTAAATGCATCAGGTATGTTGAATGGCACCATCGGGCGTCAGATGGTTGGGCAATAAACAATGTTGATATATTTTGCTTGATGACCCAGAGTGCGGCCAGGTCTGTATGTATAACTCTAGGCTTTGCTCTCTACAGTAATATTCGGCGGACCTAATCTTACATCAACCTCCTTGATAAAATACTGCCCGAGACCTCTTCATGTGGTGGAACGTGCTGATTCCAGTCTTCTTGAAAGGTTGTCCACGCGTTAGAATCCGTTTCAACGTCTCTTCCAGTTTGATATCAAGCCCGCTGTCCTTCCCGACGGTGCCTGCTCCAGCCCTACAAGCCCGTAGACAAGTAAAGGAAGGCCCGGTCGTAGACATCCTTGCACTCGTCCCAAGGAATGCGATCCCACTTCTTAGCTACCAAGCATCTATCATCTTGGAATGGGGAGCCGCTCTCCACCTGTGACTCCAGCTCGTCCACGCTCTCCTGCAAGCGCGTTGTCTGCATCCGCCGCCTTTCATACATGAATATCTTGAACGCAGCCAACGGGCGGGTGACCCAGGGGAGCAGCGCCAGCAGGTTCAAGAACAGAGGGCGGCGTTTGCCCTTTTCATTGACCTTGCGATCGGGCGACCACTGCCGGAAGTAGGGCAGCTTGTACAGCCCCATGAGGAGGAAATAGCCAATCATTCCTCTGGCGCGGAGAGCAAGAGAATCGTTAGCTGATGCGCACTCAATCAACAGGTCATCGCGCTCACAGGAAGGGGGGAAGAATCCATTTCATCCACCTCTTGTCGTCGATCTTCTTCTCCAGAGCCAGCAGCATCGACGACAATTGGCGTAGGTCTCTCAGCAGCGCCGTTCGGGTCGTCTCCAGCCGAAAGGCATTATCTGGGTTGACTACTGCGCGGTCAGAATCTGTCGCAGAGTTAGAAACACGCAGTGGCGGGTGAGCTGACCTTGTTGATCGATCGCGTGAGACGGGACGAGAGACTGGAGCTGGCGGTACTGGTCCAGGCGGGAGAGGATGGCCTTCCGGAGCTCGCGAGCCTCTATCTCGCGACTCTTGATTGGGTCAACGTCATCCATTGTCGCATCAGAAGCTCTCCAGCGCCGTCAGCGCTGATTGACCATTCATTGCAGTCTCTGAGAACTGCTCAGCGACTCGGATCAAAAATGACGTGGCATCCCTGCAGGGGTGGCTGGGAAGCCGTGCGCCAATTCAAAATAAATTTAACTTGCATAAATCAATGCATCTGCTAGTTGTCCAGGTTACCCTATACCTCTCCACTTGTAGAGTTGGATCAACGAAGGAAGGGCAATAAAAATGGCAGAGTAGCTCCAAAGTAAATCTCTTCATAGATTTGATACGGCCTAAAAGCCTGTTTTTGATTTATGAAATCGACCATGACTATGTCTTGAAGATGGCAAAGTCATTGTGGCAGGGTCGTTTGTAGTAAGAACAAGATGATCTCACGTTATGGATGGCTGACAGCTTTCGGGGAACATAAGAATACCAGAAAGAAACCACCGGAAACCACCTCCTTTGTTGTAAGAAACATCAGACCTTTGAATACACGATGATGATATTTAATTGAATTCTCTCGTGTAACATTAGAGTTATTTGACAGACAATGGAAATGTGATATCTGGTGCTTGATTTGGCGTGAGCTCTCCCGTGCTTAAGCGGAGATACTTTAATAAAATCCAGTATGGGATCAATGCGACAGTGAATTCGTTCACACTTCTAGTCCCATCATGGAATATTGAATTTTGTTCGATCGATAAATGTTATTCGAAAGTATTGACTTCTAATAAGAATCTTGGTCTACCTACTTTACACATGTACCCAGGTGCGTCAAGTTACCTTTCATAATATCCGCCAACTTTTTGTATGACAACTAGGACAGATGAAAGTACCATATTAAATCAAAGACGACAAATGAAATTTTTATGAGATTCAGGATTGGTTGAAATAGGCTCTCACGAACCAGTTGACAGATTTTGTGTTGCGCCAAAGGCTTGTTGGACTCGCCAAGCACGCGTTTCTCTTTTAACGATAGAAGTGTATACTGAGAACTTTAATGAATACAGATTGAATTTTATTCTAAATACTAAGTGGCCTGACTTATTAAGGTATGCCATCATTCAATATTCCCTTATCTTCGATTCACGGGATGGCTTCGAGCATGATGTGACAAGCCCGGCAAAGCCTCCGATTTCGGCTTACCCGCAGCACCTAATTGGATCCTTAAATCACTGCATCATTCATCATAGCACAAACCGCCTCATTAATTCACTTCATTCTCGCTTCGAAAAATTCCCATCGCCCATTTTGACGAGCGCGTCCACGCACGTGTACCAGAATCGCCTAAGCTTGATACTGAGACAATCGACAGGATGGCCGCATCCACAGAACCGCCAACCATCGCGGTCATCGGGTAAGCACTGTCATCATTCCAGCCGAAACTCAATACTCACCATGCTCCAGCGCCGGAGTCCTCGGTCTCTCGGCCGCCCTCAAGATCCAAGCCCTCCTCTCCGGCGCCTCCGCCCAGGCTCGAGTCGTGCTCATCGCGCGTGAATGGCCAACCTCAATTCCGGGAGCTCCCATCGCCCATTCTCCCGACTACGCCTCCATGTGGGCGGGCGCTCACGTCCGCCCGATCCCCGCTGGCGACAGCCCCCAGCTGCAGCGCGAGGCCCGCTGGCTCAAGCAGACGACCGCCGAGTTCGAGGACCTGCTGCGGACTGAGCCCTCGGTCGGCATCACCCGCACGCCCGGCATCGAGCTCCTCGATGCCCCGCCGCCCGACTATGTCAGGCAGACCGAGGCCAGCTTTGCCGAGGAGACCGGGCTGGCGGGGTACCGCAAGTACGCTGCTTCGGAGCTTCCCGAAGGCGTGCAGCTTGGATATGAGTACGAGACGTACTGCGTCAATTCGCCTCTGTACTGCGGTAACCTGCTGCGCAAGTTCATCGTCCAGGGTGGGAAGACGCTCCACAGAGATCTGAAGAGCGAGTGGGAAGCGTTTGCCGTGGGCGGATCCAACGTCAAGCTGGTCGTCAATGCGAGCGGCACAGGGTTTGGAGACTGGAGGAGTTTCCCCACGCGGGGACAGACCGTCATCACGAATGTCCTATCGGCGACGAAAACGGTGACGAGGCAGAACAAGGATGGGACATGGAGCTTCATCATCCCTCGTTTCTTCAATGGCGGGACCATCATCGGCGGCACCAAGGAGCCTGGAAACTGGCAGGTTGAGCCCCGGCCCTCGACGCGGGAGGTTCTCCTTGCTGGAGGGAAGGCGTTGGCCCCGTATGCGACAAGTGACTCATCTTCGTTGAATGAGAAGGACTTGCGCGTCATTACGGATGTGGTAGGCAGACGGCCGACGCGGGAAGGAGGAATGAGGATTGAGCTGGAAGAGAAGCAACTGACGGATGCGAATGGCCAACTGAGGACAGGCCATGTTCTTCATTCGTATGGCGCGGGTGGTCGTGGATACGAGATTAGTTGGGGAGTGGCCAACGAGGTGTCAGAGGTTGTGAAGGATTTGTTGCCTTTGATCGTGGGGACAAAAGCCAAGTTATAGAGTGACATTCTATTTACCAAATCTATTTTCCAGGTCTTTCCCATCTCGAAGACCATACTAATTCTATAACAAACCCCTTTTGTTTTCTTCTAAATGTTTTCAGCCTTTGGGGCGTCTAATCCGTCTTGACACCGAGTTTGCCAGCCTTCCTCAGTCCAAACCCGCTCAGGAAAGCACAGAAAACCATGAACCCAAACATGGTCCAGAAACTAGCCCGATAACCCTGCATGAGAGCATCCACCGGCGACATCCCCTCATGCCCCTTGGCCACGGCCATGGATATCACCTGCATGATCGCCAGGCCGCACGCATTGCCAAACTGCGCCGCCGTGTTGAACACCGCGCCCGCAAGCGCCTGCTTGTCCTCCGGGAAAGTCTCGCTGACCACGAGCATGCCGATGACGAATATGACGTCGGCGCAGACGGGCATGAGGAGCTGGGCCACGAAGGCGTTGGCCCAGTACGACCAGTGGGGCTGGATGACGGCCATGAGGAGCGGGGAGCCGGCGGTGAGGACGCAGCTGACTGTGACGACCCAGATGGCGGGGACGCGGTGGACGAAGATGCCGGTGATGAGGTTTAGGATGATGCCGACGACAAAGCTGGGGATCATTCGGATGGCGGAGGATAGAGCTGACAGGTGCTGGACCTCTTGGAAGCTAGCAGAAAGAGACCGAGTTAGTATATCCGAGCAACACGGTGCTCAAGCATTGAGGAAGACTTACAACAGGCTGACAAACAGCTCGAGGGAATTGATCACGGCGTAGGAGAGGGCGATGGTCGCGCAGATGCTGGAGAAGGATGCGATACGCCAGAAGGAATTGGGGATCAGAGCCGGCTTGCCGGTGCTGACTTGACGGTGCATCCAGCCGAGAAAGAGTGGCAGGCAGAGAACTCCGATAATGAGGAATGCAATGCTAAGAGGCTCCTTAACCCGATTGATATCGGTGCTAATCATTCTAAGAGAGGGATGAATGTTAGCATGAATTCATTCATCGGCATCAAGGCAGAATGATTTAGACTTACGCGAGGAAGTAGCAAAGAAGAGCCATGAACGCGGAAGCCAGCAAGGTACCCAGCCAATCCACCTTCGCCTTCATGCTGCGGATGACCTCCTTGGCCGAACCCAACGGCTCGCTCTTGGGCAGGGAGAAGATGGACATGACAAACATGGCGAGAGTGAATCCTCCGTAGATGTACCATCCCGCGCGCCAGCCAATGGTATCAACGAGCACACCACCAGCGATCAGCCCCAGACAGAACCCGAGGGGCTGGCTGAACCCCAGGCAGGCGAATGCGACATTTCTGCCTCGGCCCCGGGGCAGCAATTTGGTCACCAATCCAATGGAGCTGGCAAGGTGCATGGAGAGACCGATGCCGTAGAGGGCACGGAGAATGACGAAATCCTCGCCGCGCTGGACAAGGCCGCAGCTGATCATGAAGAGACCGCACGTGAGCATGCCGGCGAGGGCGATGGCGCGGTGACCGAGGACATCGGCGAGCGAGCCGGCGATGAGCAGCGTGGAGGCGGTGGTGAGACCGGCAACAGAGGACGGCCAGAAGGCGAGGGAGGAGGGGAGGGAGAGGTCGGCTGTCAGCTGAGGCAGCGAGATGACGATGAGGCCGTTTGTGCAGCTGGAGGCCAGGTTGACAGCAGAGAGCTGGAAGGTGACGGCCGCCTGCTGCAGACGGGAGTACTGCTTTCGAGGGCCGAGAGAACCGTCAGTCTCATCGCTGCTCTCGTGGGAAGAGGCGAGGGGGATTTCCTGCTGCTGCTCTCTGAGGACTGGCTGTTTTGTAGAGAGGGGTGAGATTGAAGATTGTAATGCCACGGGGGCAGGCTGGAGAGTGGTGGTTGTCGACATGGCGAAGAGCCGGTTGGACCAACTGAATCTACCAAGAATACATGCCAAAGTTTGTTCACCGCAGGTATATAAATGTTTCCGTAGAGCCGGAGTCCGATGAAGGAAGGCCATGTGGAGACAGTCCCTTGACAACAGGGCGCGGTTGGCATCTGGTCTGTGGGGGACGTTTGTCATCCTTCTGATATCGGTAAGACGGTGATTGGTCAGGAAGCGATGCCCATGGATTTCAATTAGTACAAAGCTCGCAATGTTAATAATCACTGGCAGCAATAGAATATATAAGATTGAGATGAAGTTGTTCCTCGGAACTGATGACTATCTGAAGTAACTGGTGTGTATGAAGTTAGTTGTTTGCTTCAACTATGTGAGGTTCCCCATGGGGTTTCAAGCACTACCCACCGCTAATTAGTACTGTGGAGTAACTAATCTAAGTGGCTTATCTTGTTTTCCTTTGTCAGTTTTTTTTAATAATTTGAGGAGGTAAGTCACTGGTTCACAGTTCATGGCAGAAATGAGTACAAGTTTCTTCTTCGGCTTGAAAAAAAATTCAAAATAAAGAATGTAAATTTAGGTCAGATTCTTCACTTGTGTCGGCTGAACGTGTCCACAAGCCAGCCACTTGTGAACAAAAGAATCATCATGCTAAGGTACCTAAAGCAAAACATAAAGAAAATGGAAAACTCTCCCATCAAGTGACTATGCCACTTCAACTCGTTTCTCGTTTTAAGAGAGGCTCTTCTCATCGGTAGAGCCTGCGTTATACTTGGCAGTGTTGGAGCCGTCTCCTTTGTCAAGATTCCACCAAAGTATTTAAACGCCGTCTTAAGTTTAGGTGGTGGTGCACTTGTGGTAGTAGCACTGGCAGGTGCTGTTGTTTAGTTATGGATTAGTTAAGGGACCTTTCCGAAGTACAATATCGGGTTACTCACAGGTTGGCAAAGCCTCCGCACTTGCCCTTGTAGGGGTACTGAAGCTTGCCGTTGCAGGTACGGTGAACGTTCTAGATGGGTAAATGTCAGAAATATTAAGCTGAATGGGTATTCGGTCACATACGTTGATGCACTAGAAAAAAAGAAGGTTAGCGAGTTGGAATCGGTAGTGTGTGGAATATTTGAAGGACTCACATGGAGGTTGCATTGGTTACCAAAGGGGCAGCCCTGACCACGGGCCTCGAGGTCAACTCGGATAGCTTTAGTGATATCACGAGACTCGGGAACGTCAATGATATCAGCAGCACCGTCGTCAATGGCGTTGTCAGGAGTGGGGGAACCGGCCACCATGAGGGCCATGGAGAGCATGGAGACGAGGACGGAGCTAGTGAACTTCATGTTGAAAGTGTTGCTGGACAAGTGAAAACTCGATGACTTGCTTGGTAGTGAGATGCGGAGTGTAGAGGGCAGATGAGAGAATTGTATCTTATTGCTAAGTGTACTGAGGATGAGAAGGAAAAAAAATCTCGAATGAAGAGAAGAAGGGGATGCTTTTATAGCTACTTAGGCTCTTAGAGACGGTATACATGATTCTCGTAGGACTCCTCATCATCAGTCATCGACACTGAGGATCATCGAGACAAGAGCAATCGTACCCGCCCGTATTGATCGTAAAACTCACGCAGTCTCCTTCAATCCTCCTCTCGATAGGCATATTGAAGTCACTTTGTGATACTATTTTGGTAGGGTATGCCTCGCACACAAGTCGTTGGAATAGCCACTTGAGGGTCTAGCAGAGAGCATACCGAATTGGGATAGGTGTTCCACTCATCGAAACATCCAGGGCGACTGGTACCTGCAAACCACGCGACTTAGCATGACACAGGCGGCATGACATGGACCCAGCCGGAATGGATCAGCGGGCTGAGGCAAGGGCGATCGGCATGTCTTGGGTCCAAGCCTTAACTCGTCCAATATGCGCCTCTCCATGCTCTCGCACTGCTATACTAAACGCGGAATGCGATCTATGCGAGTTTCTTTCGAATACCTATCTATGTCATTATGCCCCGTTACTCCAGTTCAGCTGAAGGATTTACTCCACACTTACGGAACACAAGTGCCGATAGCCAAGTAATTGCGCTTTCCTCAACCGTTTCATCTTGTTCCTCCATAGCTGTGCCTTCGCAATAAGTAATAACTAGTGATTTGATAGGACAGAATGGGCAGCATGATGCTCTGACGAATAACCTTATCTGGAGAGGTGGGCTCCTTGTCTCACCCAGGTCAAGGTACTTTTGAATTCATCAACAAGCTGAGAACTAGGGACTTGTTGATAGTCACATCTATCATGACAACTTTAATCTATCTAGATTAGAAAAAAATTGTCCAATTAAAAGAGAGTTATACACAGTGGCGGTACTCAAGTGCAGTGATGTCTCCTTGTAACTGCCGAGCAATGCCACCCTCGATCTGTGAGTCGGGGAAAAAGACTCATCGGTGTGGAGCGGTGGCAGGGTGCAAGCGGCCCTTGCGTTAGGCGCATACCCGTACGTAATGCGTCGGTCATCGCAGATCTGGATGGTTGGTCAGTCAGTGGTCAGGGGCGAATTCATTCCATGCATTAGGCATTGATTGACTTGGCTTAAGCCGAGGGTCCAGGCACCCTCCCGTATGGTCAGCATTTAGACGAGTGTGCCTTTCTGGAATGGAAGTCAGTCGACTCTCGGGATTTTCAGCCTAAGAGGGTCTAGATTCTGGGAGTGTATGTGTGTTGTCTATTCTATTATGACTCGTGAGGCTGAATAATATCGGACAAGTCTGTGACACGGTCGGTCTTATCTCAATGCGATGAGGAACGGGGATGCCTTACACGGGGATGGGTAACAATATGTCACTGGCTTCCAGCTTGCTCTTCTGGTAGTATCACTGCGAAATGCCTGTGACGTGGGTGCATGTCTGATACTAGGCTTATTCACTCTCGACCAACGGGTACGCATAGTCATATATCACGATTGGCAGTAACCCATACATCCATTTAAGTCACTTGCATGGATTTAGACATGGTAATGTCCGGACAGACTTTAAATCTCAATTTGAGGGTAGCTGGGCAACAGCTCCTAAGGCCCAGACTAAAGAGCACTTTATAGATAGTGAAATGCTTAGTTAGACTGGAGAGACATTGCATCCTGCCAAATTTTGCCGATGAATACCAAGATTGAACAAGGTATAGAGCCCTCAGAACTTATGTTCTTTGAACTGCTGCTGGGCGTTTGGTAGATATAGCTATAGCTACCTTAGGGGTAGATGAATAATTTAATCATTCGCGTCCTCCTACTGTAAGAAAGTAGACGCTGCCTGTTGTGGTATTCACATTTGTCGGAGCTGCTAGATACAAAGCATCGTCTCCATCGGATCTTAATATCGCTTGAAGCCTCTGCACCTGCTGCCCCTTGACAGCAGCCAGCTCGGTGCTACTCCAGGCCGTAGAAGACGCCGATCTCTCCAGTGCCCATGCACTGCCTTGCTTTTTGCAAAAATATATCCTGGCAGTTGTACCATCATGAGTGAACCCCAAGGCGGCTGTTGTATCGTCTGCAGAGAATATGGTCTCCTGTGTCCACACAGCGTTGCCTCGATGGCTGACAGATCGACGGATCTGCCATGTCCCGCCTACCTCAGCCTGGAAGCGGAAAGCGTGCTGGACAAGGACAGTCCCTGCTGAGTTTTCGTATAGTGCCAGCTTTGCGCTTTGCATCATCGGCGGTGGCGCAGAATCGTCTCCGTAGCTCTCCCCCGTCGCCAGTGGCTGGAAGACCAAGTTTGCTGTGGACTGCGTGACAGGGACAGAAACGGCCACGCCATCTATGGTCTTGAATACTCCAGTGGAGGGTCTGTACCGCAGATAGCTGCCCTCGTGCCGCCCCGCCGATGCTGGATACTTGGCCCATTCCCACTGAATATGGACATCGCCGTCCGATGAGAACTGCATGTCGTCTGGGTAGATGGAGTATTGTCTGTTATATGCGAATATCGCCACCCGAGCCCACGCTTTTTGCGATGTCGTGTAATGATACAAGTATCCCGCACGACACAAGCCATCACCGTTGTACCCGCGGATGATAAGCCAGAGATCGCCGGCTGCGTCTCTTTTGACGATTGGATAAGTAAACAAGAGACTCTGGTCGGGAAGCTCGCTACTTGCGTCAATGATCTCTGCCACGCTATAAGCATCTTGAGACCGGTAATAATTCCATGTCGCATGGTGCATGGAGGTAAATACGTGAAGATAGCCGTCGCCGTCAATAGCAATGCTTGGTTGGTTGTGCCCGATGTTATCAGCGAAGAGATCGCAGGCTCCCGATGCTGTTTTCACACAGCCACGTACAATCCCCCCAGATGAGATGTCCCGTCTGGCGATCATCGCGTTGTTGTTCGAGACTGACCCCCCTGATGGGTTCACGAGATATGCCAGCCAGGAGTATCCGCCAGCTTCATCCAGCGGACTCCACCATGCTGCCGCGTTAGAGGAGTCAGCGGCTTGTGAAATTGTGGCAAGAGAGCCAGGTGTAATGGCTGCTCTCAGTCTGGTGGCTGTCGCCACAACTGTTGCAATTGTGGATATCTTCATGTTGGACGAGGGTTGGGTCTATGGCACGACGAGTGGAAGGCAGAATTGCGTCGAAGGACGTGATGGTTACTTCTACACCGCATTATTTAAGTATTTCCCTCGCCCCTTTCGTTACATCGGCCAGGTCAAGTTTTATGGAGGATAGGTACAGTTACGAAAAGCTGTTTTCAGCGGATGCACCTCCCCTTGTAATTGAGAAAATAAAACCGGTCCATGGCCTGACAGCTGCATTACTTGAACGAATCGGGTGGGATCCTCGCTCCTACGAATGGATACTTAATCCACTGATTCCAAGTGAGATAATGTGAAAAAAGGGTCCTACCAAACAACAAAATATAGGTTGGGGAAAAACCTTAGTATCTGCCAGGGCGATCTTCGCTCCTCATCACTGTCATAGGATATGCGGATTGGCCACGTCTAAATCAGTTTGTCGCGGATAGAACTCGAAAATGACTGACATTAGAAGTAACAATTTGAAGGATTGCTCACGTAAACTGTGCATTGGTTTTACACGGCACGGCCCTTAGAGAAAATAAACTTATATTGTAAATCTCAAGCTATATATATTGAGTAGAACATGCGCCGTTTGCATCCCTTAACATGGTCTATGGCGCTATGTTGCTCACCACAACACAAAATTCTAAGTAGGGTTCTGACCGGTAACTCATTTGGGTGGTAAACAAAAAGTGCGTGTGTCTATGAGATAGCTGTTACATGGGATGATAAGTATGCTAAGTCTATGCAAGTTCTTGATCAATTAACTATTTTCACAGATGACAGCTAGGTCTAGCTCGTAGCTGGTCCTCGACATAGCACAGAACAAGCAAGCCTGTTCTTTGAATTAGCTATGAGAGCAAGTGATCGCGAGGTTGGCTAGACAGCTGTTGATAGTTCTGGTGGAAGGTAGTTAGGCCGACTCCTTGCAATCTAGCTGCCACAATGACTCCGCTTGCGTTCGGTAGAATTTATCAACTCACATTATAGATGTAAGAGTGGAAGCAATTCAGCTGGAGCTGATTTCTTTAATAACTGCATAGTGTCATAGAGGTTTCTTATCACATGCACTCAATCTTGTCGAACCAACTCAATCAAGTAGTTTAAGTATTTAGATTCGTAGCTATTGTGGCGAGATTGGCTTGCAAAAACTCATATTTCAAAGATTGAAATTTCCAGAAGGTAATGAGGCAGGGAGTAAAAGCGCGGTATTTTCTATTGGCGAAATATTACTATTCGTGAGAACTTATGGCTTTTATGTGTATTTTCCACCAATTCTACACCATTGGTCTGAACTGTATACTTTGTCGACATGGAATTTAGAAACTGCCGCCACCTGATTGAATAAGATATAACCCAACTCATTGCTTGATTCGATGGGATGGGATAGTGGCTAACGCACTGGCGCTTACAATGGAATAAGTGTTGTGTTCCAACCCTTCCGTACTCTGTACAAGAGAAGCCCCTAACACCCACTGCAGAATTGCTTCGCAGAAAGTGTGATCTGTCAAGATGGGCAGTTACTCCATGCAGCCAAGACCAGCACCGCGACAGACTCCTGGACCAAGATGGCTGGCTCTCGTCGGTTCCGAGTCGAAGCCATTTGCCCAACTGCAAATTCCACTTTTTGGGTAGTCTACACAGCCGACGGTGGGCCAGGTTGCAGCAAAAACGGATAAGGTTTCGAGGTTAAATGACCATCCAAGCCCAGACAAGAATCGCTTAAGTTTCAGCCCCCAAAGAGGCAAGCTCCATGCAGTAAGACACCGGATACGAG